AAGTTGCAATTGACCTGCAACTTTTTCATGTTTCTGGACAAACTATATTTAACTTATATTAATTTTCAGAAAGATTTCATGTTCGAAAGAATATAATTATTTTAAAACTTATGATTATGATACAGTTAAATACTTCTTATTATTGATTCAAGAAGTTTATATTTAGGCATGACTCGTAAAAGGTGGAAAGACGCCTTGACTATTGTCATGTTAATTAATCTTTTTCTATCGTTTGCAAATGAAAAAATAAAATAATCACACACCAAACACCGTCATGTTATGTAGCCGTGGCACTGACTTGCGTATACAAAAGTTCATCCTTTACATCATTTTTCTCAGTGATGGTGACAAATGTTGATCAATCGTCCGGATGTTATGAATGTCATCTCCGTCCCTCAAGTCTGTTCTTTCCTTCCTCTTTTCTGTTCCCCCATTCCGTGAATCCCTGTTCCTGCACCGTAGTTTCAAACTTTCATTGATTTGATCTTGCGACGTGCTCACTATTCCTTGATTATGAAAGTATGAATTCCGGGAATTTACATTCGCATCGTTCGAAGACTCGAAGTGAACATAAATGCCGCACATTTTAATCGACTTCAGCATTGTGTTGATATGGCGCAGAATAGACGTGCCTGTATTATCTTTTAAATATAAATGGCTAGCGCATATTCCAGAGGTTTTGGTGAGTGTATTATTGTTTGATGTTTAAGTGGTGCGTCGATCTAAAAACTTTGTCATGTGCTTTATAATATAATGCCTTCTCGATTGCTTTGAGTAATGACAATAGATTATTGTGTTGATATCATATAAATGATTAACCTCTATAATTTTTTCTTGTCTTACTCATCATTAATTTGGTTAAAACTCAAGTCAAAATCATCGTAACTAATAATACTTATTCCTATCCGGTTTCCCAAGATGGCAAAAGTGAAACTATGTGACTGTTACAAGATTATAAATATTTGTTGTCACTGCATATCCTATGATTGAAATATTTGATAATTCTGCTTTTTATTCCTTTATTCACTTTGATTATAAATATTATAATTTATGTGACAATAATTAAGTTACTGTTATGTCGCCACAGTTTTCTCGTTTAAAAATGTTTCAGTCCATCATAGAGCGCGTATCTATGAATTAGAGTTGGATAAACATGTAGACAGATAAAAAAATTTCACTCAAAATTACAATGCAGCTTTAATGCTAAATTAATTAAATAAAAATGACAAATACTGAAACTTGCTATACTTAGAAGCACACGTTACCTAGCCTCGTTTCAGGAAGTTTCTAGTTTTCTTTTAAATGTGTGGACTGCATAATTTACACTAGGCAAACTAATTTCTCTTTAATTTCTTATCGGAAAACTATTTCTAAGGTTTGTATTCTTTGAATGAACGACAAAATAAAGTTCTTCTCAATTTGAATAGGCTATTTAAATAAACCGTTCTGTACAGCATGAGCATGTAATTTCATACCTAATTGCTGATATAAGAATTATTATTATAGACTCCAGAAGAAGAGGAAGAGGAAAGATAAGAACTGGCCATCGTGGTGTTGGAAATGGTGGAATTCCCTTTCAAGATGACAGAGAAAATAAATTTGAAAAGAGAAATTCAAACAGAAATTTCGAAACTCATCTGAGATTAAATCCAGAGCCACTGCCGACGTCACCGGGGAATCCAAATCAAGCTCAAAAAAATAAAAGTTCCAGTGAACGATCGCACAAGCCGTCTCCTCTGCATTTTAATAAATTGAAGAAAATATTAGAAGGTGATTCTACCGAAGCTGTTCTTCAACTTTTAAAGCATGAAGAACAGTTAGGAAATCTTCTTGATGAACGACAACTTAGAGATGGCGTCATTGAGTTGTTGCTTGAAATTTTGGCAAAGGTATAAAATTTTTAAGATTTGGGATTTTCATCGTTTGCTTCATTACATGATTCCATATCACAGAATGTATTCCTTTTTATGTTCACTCACTGCAAATCCATAACACTTCTAAAAAATCGAGTAATGGTTGCTTTGAAATTACATTTCGTGACCAAAACATGCGGGCCGGTATACGCCACTTTGTGTAGGTACGTACTATCTGCATCACACAGATCACATTCGTATTTGCAAAGTAAACGTTCTCGATTGTCTAGAGATAACCTTAGTTCTCTTCCCTTTCTCCGTAAATTTTTACTGAACGATTGAAAAATGCAATTTACTTAGATTTAGTTAGCTTGTTCAATGACCTCGATTGAAGAGTACTATGAAGAGTGCAGCTCACTATAAATGTATGTTATTGTGAACTGCACGGAAACATTATAAAAACTTCATTTTCTTTGCCAATTGAAGATCAGAATTCAGCTAATGTATGATACGCAGACAACTGTATAATCTTGAATGGAATGGAATGGAATGGAACCATTCCTAGTAAATTGCCAATATGTTCTTCACAAATACAAAAGTGATCAATGTGATGCAGATTACGTCGGCTACACTAGTCGGCAGGCCCGAATTAACCATATGTTTAAGCGGCGTCAGTTATGGGCCCCACGCTTTTAGGAGTCCAGTGCTTCACTCAACTTAAATTTTTAATTTTGCAATTATTCACGGTAAAATTAAAACTCGGTTGAGCAAATACAAATAGTCAACATTCAGGTCCCTGCGTTCACATAGGCCCCTGAAGCGCGTGGCTACATACAATCATACGGCTCCAACAGTCTTAAATCCCTTCCAATCGCAGCACTCATCCAAGTGCGAGGCTTATATGGATTTAACGCTGCTAAAGTAATGAGGCTCAAACATGTGCTTGCTATTATATTTATGGCCAATTCATGATGGGTGAATCACGGTCTCTTTATCAAAAGTCATCGACGAGAAAAGGGTTGCCCTACGCAAAACGAATGTCAGATACTCGATGGCTCTACTTATTGGCTACAATGAAATTAATGCGCATGTAGAAGAAATTGCTGGCTATGACAAAGAAAAAGCCGAAACCTCGTTGAAAAGCTGAAAGCAAAGGAAAGAGCCTAATTCAAACATTATATAAGCCAAGCGAGACGATTGTTTACACGAAATTGCCTGTACGATGAACCTTGATCGGAGGCTGAAGTGACACAGACTCCAGCCTGTACCTTCGTACAGGTACTTTCCTCGAAATAATTCACAATCTTCACTCTGAATTGCGGAGATGCTCGCGTTACTCCGGCTGCAAGTTTTGGCTTTCTTTTAAAGCTTAGAGAGCTCTTGGCTAACGATGCTGTTGAAAAAGCGAAACCTCTTCAAGACATTTCAATGACATAGAAGCTACTCTGTTGGAGTAATTACAACAGTTTTCAGCTTTTCTCAATGCAGACTTCGTTATGGAAACGCGGGGCGTTACTGAAACTTCGCAGTTTCACAGATCTGACACTTCAGGATCATCCTCTTTTGGATTCGTTGAAATTAGGGAAGTATTTGCTTCTCGTCTCAAGGAATGTGGAATCAGTATTTCCCAGAACAATCATTGCGCTCCGTATTTTTTTGAGCGTAATGATCGAAAACTGTTCAGAAGAACAGTCATTCTCTAAACATAAGTTGTGATCATTATTCAATTAAGGTGAGGTATGAGTATGACGCAGAAAAGACTGAAAAACTTTGTTCTGCTTGCTGTCGGGAGGAATTTGCTATGACAAATTGATGTTTTGTCCTTAAACAATCACTTTTAAATGGGGGGATTATTTCGGGGATGGGGGTATTGAAGGGCACCTCGCTTAAAAGAAACCACAGGCCCTGCTAGTCGGCACCTATTCTAATAAACGATAAAACGCGTTTTAAAAATGCAACAGGCAATAGGAATCGATGCTTTTGAAAGATATGTTATACGTTAATATATTTCCTCACCTTATAGATTTACGATACTCACATGAAAGAAAATTTAATGAAAATCATGGCATTGTTTCCAAATACTGTATTTTTACGTGTGCCCCTTTCACGCTACATAATGACGCTTCACACTAAAAGAAATGTGGAAAAAAATGTCAAGAATATCATACAGTTTTTCGATGAAATTTTGCGAAGATTCCCTGATAATTACAGTGACATTCCCATTGATTCCCTGGTCGTTGCATCATTGACGCTCATGTTAAGTTCGGATGCAAAAGCTCTAGTGCAGGTTTGTAAATAATAGGTGCTAAAATTCAAGGAAAATCGATTATTTTACAACTTTCAACATTTAATTGAGTTCCACTGTCAAATTTTTTTTAGATCTTAAAATATTTGCACAAGTTCACTCCTTCATAGAGGATTGAAAATTTTCTATTTTCTTTTGAAGGACATAGCTATAGAGTTAGTTGGTGGGGATAAATATTCATGTTAGCATGATATTCCAGATTAATTTCCTTTGAAAACCATCTTGTTCTACGTATCATAACATTTATATGTAAATATGAGCCACTGCAAATATCAATCTTTCTATACGTCCATGACCTTTGTCATACTCCAAATATTGCATTTTTATAGGATCTTGTTAGCTCTAGGCAGAGTATTATCGAAAGGAAATCAAAGCCTCGCTCTAAGGTGAAAGATAATGAGGAAGAGAAACCACCAGATGATTTTCGTAAGATTCCTGTTTATCCTATTGCTCAAGATTTCGATAAAGATAAAACCGTTTTCCTTCGAAAAAATATCATAGATGGCACATATAAAAACGTGGCTCACTATCTTGACGTACAGTTCCGATTGCTAAGAGAGGATTTTATCGGACCACTTCGCGAAGGTGTCGACGAAATTGCAAAAGAGGTTCATAGAAATGAGCGAAATCAGAATCTGCGGGTTTACAGGAATGTAGAAGTTGTCGATACAGTTTGTACTGTCTCTGGAATTGTGCACCTTATCCGCTTTGATGTTCGCCGATTCCAAAGAGTGAAGTGGGAAAACTCAAGGCGATTAATCTTTGGAACATTTCTTTGTCTTTCAAGAGATAAATTTAAAACACTCGTTTTTGCGACGGTAAGCGAACGAACATCACAGGAACTAAAAGATGGTTTTATGCAAGTCCGTTTTCTTGGTGATTTACCTGATTTTAAATCTGGTGAAATTTATGAAATGGTTGAATCACCTGGCTATTACGAGGCCTATTGCCATAACCTCGAAGGACTACAGGAAATTTCTGACGAAAAAATGCCTTTAGGTCGTTATCTTGTCCAATGCAAAACAATTGTTAATCCACCAAAATACATTACTGTCCATGAAATGGCACCACCAATTCACCCTGAGTTTGCAGTAGCAGATAATGACGTATTGCCAATTAGCCCAAGGTTTGTTCTAAAATGATAACACTCGATACATTTCCATTATCAAACATATTGGGGGGCTCAGCTTTACTGAGCTTTGTATTTAATTTCCCCTATCTACTAGTTTTTGCCATGTTGTTCTGAAGCTGGTTGAAATATTTCGAAGATTGCTGATAAACGTTCGAAATTTGCTTTAAGCTTCTTTGCTTTGAACTTTCAAACTTTGAAATACATGAGCTTTGAAGTCTGATATTTCACAATATTGATGCGATAAAAATTGTTCATAATCCATGTCCAAATCCGAATGTCTTGCAAGATACATGGATCAGGAACAAACTCGATGAACCGTCGTTCGAAATGACGGTTTTACACATTTGTATTTATTATTTTGCTCATATACTTGGGGTTGTGTTTTTTTGCAAAATTTATATTTTCTTTGTAAATTGCTTGTGAAAAAGTGTTGGTCTTATCGTTTCAATACGCATTATTTATTTTATAGATATAATCTTCAAGGCGTTTTACGTTCAATGGATGCACGATCCGTGCAAATTTTGGAACCCGAAAGTTGGCCAAGAGCCGACAGTGTTTCTTTGAACCAATCGCAAATGAATGCAATTCAAGCTGCTCTAACTGAAGAGTTTGTAGTCATTCAAGGTCCACCAGGCACTGGAAAGACGTATGTTGGTCTCAAGATCGTGCAAGCTTTGTTACAAAATCAGGATTACTGGCGTACGAACCAAATGAGCGCCGGACCAATGCTTGTTGTTTGTTATACAAACCACGCCTTAGATCAGTTTCTTGAAGGTAATTGCAAGTGTCAGGAAAGAGCTGTAGAATTTAATATCAGTTATCTTAAGCATCTATATCATTTTAATTCGTTACCTAACGTCAGTTTTTTATAATAAAGGATAATACATACGCATACTGGCCAAAAAAATTTGAGGAAGAGCAGATTGTTATCGATAATGCCCTACTAAAACAACAAATTGCTCCAAATTTTGCAAGATGCCCACATTTTTAGAGTTGCCCCAATCTTTCTCTAAATTTACCCGAGGTTTTGTCTGTAATTGCACACCGGTCAAATTGGGTGCACATGTCTGCCCAATATTTCTTCATTGACGGATCTAGAAAGCACTGCACGAGTGTGCACCATTATGAGCTTGAATAAAAATAATTTTGAAGCTCGTTATTGGAAATGTTATTGAATTTTGACATTTACTGCCAAATTGACGCTGCCCTCCACGAATAATATTTTGGATCCAGCCATGCAGTTGCTTAGATTTCTGTTACTTTGATGATATAATCTGAACCTTTAGTATACAAAACGATGGCATTTAAAGTATATTACATTCTCTTTTTCGTTTAAGTTATAAATGAAATACCCCTTGTACAATTTTTAAATATTTTTCCTAAATTCCCTTATCTTTAGATAAAGTAATAGTAATATGTTGTTAAACTTTTTCAGGTATTCTTCAATTTAACCAAAACGATGTTGTTCGTGTTGGTGGTAGAAGCAACAGTGATTTGTTAAAACCTTTTAACTTGTCCAATAAAGCTAGACGAACTGCTGCTTGGCATTTAGCCAGTAACGAGCTTGATATGACTGAACGTAGTATCAAAGAAAGAAAAAACTGTATTCAGAAAGCTAACGAGAGAAAACTTAAGTTTGAAGACTTGATTACAGTCATTGATGAACGCGAAGCTAACCAATTATTGCCTTATGTGTATTTCGCAGAATTTTATGGAACTACCGTTCTTGATGCCTGGCTTAATATGCAACACTTGCCATTCTGTGCTAGTGACTCTCAGAACATGAACGAGAAAATTTTTGAAAATCACGTCTTCAATAAGAGAGAAAATGATTTGACTGACGACGACGATGATGAAGATAGTAATGAGGAGGAGGATGATGAGGATACTGATGAAGATAGTAATGACGACAAGGAGGACGAGGATACTGATGAAGATAGTAATGAGGAGAAGGAGGATGAGGATACTGATGAAATAATTACTGTAGATGTGGAAAAAGATGCAGAAATAATTACTGTAGATGTGGAAAAGGATGCAGAAATAATTACTTTAGATGTGGAGAAAGATGCAGAAAGATTGCAGAATGAACGCATCCTTAATGATGAATTTGCTCCAGTGCAACAGTACGAGGATGACATAAAAATACATATGACTCAAGATCAACTTAACCTCGTTAATGTTCAAGCAAGATCTAATGCATTTGAAGAGAAACAAGGAAACGGCCATTGGCAAGAGATGAGAGATCTCAGTCTATGGGAATTAGATTTAAACACACGTCTTCAATATTACCAACATTGGTCCAATCTTTACCATGAAATGCATAACAGGAAATTAGAAGAACTTTATCAAGAGTATGAAACTGCGTGCAGAAAATTCAAAGAAATTAAACATGGACAAGAAGAAGATACGTTACGGAAAGCCACTGTAATTGGAATGACTACAACTGGAGCAGCTAAGTATAGAAACGTTTTGCAAATGATCAGACCCAAAATTGTAATTGTAGAAGAAGCTGCCGAGGTTTTAGAAGCCCATATTGTTACTGCCTTGTCAGAAGGAGTGGAACACTTGATTTTGATTGGAGATCACAAACAACTGAAACCTAACCCGTGTGTCTTTACGCTTGCGAAGCAGTACAATCTTGAAGTATCTTTGTTTGAGCGTATGGTAAGAAACGGAATGAAATGTCATACACTAGACACACAACACCGCATGCGTCCCGAGATCGCTCGTTTAATGAAATTCATTTATCAGGATCTAAAAAATCATTCAAGTGTGGAACGGTTTGACGATGTCATGGGAATTTCCAAGAATATCTTCTTTATTAATCACCAAGAAGCGGAACAGTCAAATGACGAACTTAAAAGTCACTCAAACGATCATGAGGCAAATTTCATTGTTGCTTTATGTCAGTATTTGCTACAACAGGGTTACGGTCCATCAACTATTACTGTTCTTACAACTTATACTGGGCAATTGCTGCATCTCAAACGTCTTATGCCCAAAACAAAATTTGAGGGTGTTCGTTTGTGTACTGTCGATAACTTTCAAGGGGAAGAAAATGATATAATTTTGTTGTCCCTTGTCCGTAGCAATGAAGAAAAGAAAATTGGATTCCTTGGTATTTCCAACCGCATTTGTGTCGCCCTATCTCGTGCACGCAAAGGATTCTATTGTATTGGAAACATCTCAATGTTAGCTGAAAAGAGCAATTTATGGCACAAAATTATGAAAGATCTCGAAGTCCAGGGAGCCATTGGAGCAGCTTTGCCAGTTTACTGTCAAAATCATAAAAATACAAAATTTGGAATGAGGAGCGCTCAAGATTTTAAAAAGGTACCTCAAGGTGGGTGTACTCTTCCCTGTGATTACCGTCTTGACTGTGGGCACAAGTGTGAGATGGTGTGTCATCCAGCTGATCGCGAACATAAAGAGTATGATTGTAAAAAATTGTGCAAAAAGGAGGTGTGTCCTCAACATCAGTGCCGTAGAAAATGTCATCATGGAGAACCCTGTGGTCCTTGCAGAGAGATAGTTACTAAAAAACTCCCGAAATGTGGGCATGAAGTAAAAATGCAATGCGGTCAAGATCCTTCTTTATTCAACTGCCCCAAACCGTGTGAAAGAATCTTGGAATGTGGTCATTCATGTCAAGCTACTTGTGGCGAAATATGCTCAAAAAGGAAATGCAAAGAAATTGTTGACAGAATTTTATTTTGTGGGCATAAAAAATCATTTGAATGCTGGCTTCCTATTGAAGAATGTAAATGCTTTGAACCTTGTGACACTTTGTTGGAGTGTGGGCACAAGTGTCAAGGTAATTGCCATGATTGTAAGCAGGGTCGTATTCACATTGTCTGTAAGCATCCATGTGGTCGTACGCTGATTTGCTCTCATCCATGTGACGAACCATGTACAAATGATTGTCCACCTTGTCAACGGAAATGCGAAAATCGTTGTATTCATAGCGCATGCGGAAAGAAATGTGGAGAACCGTGTGCACCATGTCAAGAACCATGCACGTGGCAATGTAAGCATAAAAAGTGTACTAAAAAATGTTCGGAAATTTGTGATCGCATGCCATGTAATGTAAAATGTCGTAAAAAGTTGCCATGCAATCACAGATGCGTTGGATTATGTGGTGAAAAATGCCCACGGCTATGTCGCATTTGTGACAAAGACGAGCTTCGAAAATTTTCTTTGGCACTGAAGACAGGCACGGTGCAAGATTTATTGAGCTTTTGGACTGTCACCACGTTTTTGAGGTCACTGCTCTCGATCAATGGATGTCCCTTGCCGAAGAAGAGAGCTCAGGCATACAACTCAAGGCTTGCCCCAAGTGTAAAACTCCAATAAGAAAGAGCTTTCGTTATGGAAATCTTATTAAAAAGGTTTTGCAAGATATTGAAACTATCAAAAGTAAAGTCAGAGAGAACGGTGCCAACATAGAGCAAAGAAAGAAAGAGTTGAAAGCACAACTGTCAGAAATTAGTTCTAAATATCCCGACCCTTTACATCCATTAGATCAAAACCGCAACCGTCGAAGTAGGAGACCATTAATTCCATTTAGAAAAAACTTGATCGATGCAACATCTTCAGTTTTCTTTGAAATTGAGACTGAAATAAACAATGTCGACAGCAATCAGAAATTGGACGTGATCTCTTATAAAATACAGCTTCTTCGACCTATTTATGAAATCAAAGCAAGGTTCATATCGCGCTTACAGGAAAAGATACCTCTTCAGTCGCAGATTATGGAACTAGAAACATTGGTGTTAAAGTGCGATAAATTAACGTCGCAGCTGATCGCAGATGTACAACAAGAAATCCAGCGAACAGCGTTGGCGTGTAAGTTGAAAGTACTCCAAGAGGATATAAAGAAGTATAACAAGACAGTGTCTTATGAACAACAATTAAAGCTTGATGCAATCTCGTCGTTATTCCTCTCCCCCCGTAAAATTAATAATGATATCAGAGAATCAGCTATCCGTGATCTCGATCAAATTAGTCAGGATCTCCAACTTGGTGCAATTACCGCTGAAGAAAAAGCCGAAATTGTTAAAGCGATGGGCTTAACAAAAGGCCACTGGTTCAAGTGTCCCAATGGTCATATATATGCTATTGGAGATTGTGGTGGCGCAATGGAAAGAGGTAAATGCCCTGAATGTCATGCAGTTATAGGTGGTGAAAATCACACATTAGAAGCTGATAACCAATTGGCTTCTGAAATGGATGGTGCTAGGCATCCTGCTTGGTCTAATCAAGTTAATCTCGTTAATTATGATCCTGAAGAACTCAGGGCTCTACAATTTTTCTAAGAAATCATAAAGGACTGCGTGGGCAGGAAATATAGCATTAACAATCAAATGACAGAACTTATTAAAGTATCAATATTTGCTCCCACTCTAACTACATGACACAAAGAATACTCATAGATCATGATTGGAATTTTCATACGTTTTCCAATATTTTCTTCTAACGGTACATTTTACAACTGCTAATACAAACAATAAGTTTCCAAGCTACTTGCCATAAAACCATTGTGAACATGTCTTATCAACTGTTACAAGTCTCCATGCATGTTGTTACCGGAAGCACTAAAGCCTACGTTGGAATGACCTATGTATTGTGCAAAAAAGAAGAATAGTTTATGTTTAGTACTGGTCAAGAACTGATTTAATCAGCTCTTTTAGTTGAGGGTTGAAAGTAGTACATAATGTTAGGTTTAATCAGGTTTAATTTTCTGATTTGAACTTTTAAAATCGTCAATAGCATATTTTCACATTATTTCGGGATGATTGTGAGAAGTTCCTGTTTTTGTATTTTACTTTTGATGTTTTTTCCGCATAAGTTATATATGGATAAAAAAGAGTTATATGAACTGTCTAAATCATGTATTGTTTTGTTTTACTACAGTATATTGGTTTTGTGATAATATATAAAAGAGAAAATGCATTTGTCTCTTGCTTTTTCCTGCCATGATAACTACACATCCAAACTATTATAGCAAAATGATAATGATGACATTAGTTCATCTACTTAACAAATAAATTACATTTCAGTATGACGTCACTGAGTTGTTATGAGCATTCATTTATGAGGATCGTAACTCACCCAAGGCTATCAAATAACACAATTTTGTCTATGACATTCACGAAACATAGCTCGTATGTCGGGCTTTGTAGATAGCAATCATCTATATGATTGTGTGTCTGCTACTGAAATGTGGCCCTTTTTATGTAGCCAAGTGTAGCCAAGTTGGGCGTCAGAGTTTTAGTAAATATTCTGGGTATACTAGCTGACCCAATTGGCAAACAGTAAACCATTCACCAGAGTTGAAAATGATTCAAGATGCAAGCTACATGTGACGTTAAAGCAGCCATAATGGAGGTCTACATCAAACTGCCGATGCTCAACACAGCATTTAATTAACATATATTCTTTTCCACTAAATATCGTCCTTATTCTGCTGCTTTTGCAAAAAGCTTATACCGTGAAAAAAATTTCTGTTGATTTCACACTCTGCTGAGCATTGGCGGTAAACCAACAATATGACAGCTTGAGAAATCATATGAAATCACATCATTCTCAACTCTGCAGCACATTTTGGCGTATATTTACATTTCTAAACACCTTAGAGGCTAATCCATTGGTAAAATTATATTCTTTAGAAATTTAAAAGCGAAGAGGGGCGCAGGGAAAAATTTTTACAATTCTAAGTTTATCATTTGAATAAGAATTAGTATAACAACGAGTGTTACTGGCGTGTATGCTAATTACTAGTTACTTTAGCAGCAATCAATGGTGTTACTCAAAAGATGATTTCCAATCGCATCGTCGCAGGAAACGATTATTCTTTGCAAAAGGAGTTGTTCCTGTACAATTAAAAAACTACTGGCGTAAATCTAACGTTAAATCAGGAGAAATCATATTCATAATCATATCTTCTACTATATCATGCTGATTTCTATAGAAAGTGACATTGCTTTAGAAAGGTATTGCAGGCTAGATAAATATGGTCTAACTAACGTTCAATTTACTCAGTTGTAAAAAAGTAATTAACCGCAAAATGTTAAAGCCATTTTTAGGTGAGTTTGCCTCCCAAAAAATCAATGTTTCCTGCACCACTGAATTGAAGGTGGTGAAAGATGAAGTTGAAAGTTTTAAAGTTTTGAGTTACACTCATTGTGTTCATTCCTATTAAGTTTTAAAATTTTAATTGTAAAGAATTGTCTTTCATTATTGTACTTATATAGTTATGCGTTATGGTCCGTGTTAATTGAATAAACTAATCCCGTGCTTTATCAACAATAAGTTTAAGCCTGGTTCACGCGAGTGAAATAAGGATAAGAACAAGCGTAGACAAAAGATAAAACAAAGATAAGTAACGAAGCATGTGACATAACCATCGTCATAAGCGCAAGCATAAGGAAAAAATTCAAGCATAAGCTAGGAGAAGAACAAAAGAAGAACAAACAGAAGATTTAAAGAAAATCCCAATGTCTTTGTCTTTATAAACCTCTAGAGCAATAGAAACAAAACTCTCGACGTTCGTGCTTATTTTACTCGTGTGAACCAGGCATTATGTCTTCAACTGATCACTATTCTCTTATGTGACTGTTTTTGTCAATTATAAACTTTCGTCATTTGTGGATTACCATATACGTTCTCATGCAAGTCCCAAATGTCTTCCTCAGTTGTAATATAGCTTGTTTCTTGTAAGGGATTTGTGATATCTAGTCGTAGATATTTCATCTTGGTGCTTCTAACATTTGGGAACTTTACTAACGCTGGTAACGTAATTTATCATTTTAGATTTCTTCTATATTCGACTATATTCTTATGACTGGTATAACGTTGATGAAGAACAGCTGCACGTCGAACATTTTACTTCATGACATTTAATGAGTTTACGCGACGAAAATAGCTGAAAGCCTCAATTTGTATCAAGTGATGAGCTTAAATATATACATTGTGCCTTTATGCCTCTATAAAATGGAAATACGATTTGCCGTTGGTCGAAAATGGCAATTGTTGCTCTGTCTTTAAACACGCACGCTCTATCGTCAACTTTATCGTCTATCACAAAATGAGCTAGGTTTTTTTAACGTTTGTCGTTTTTACGGTTAATATATACAATTGTTTAAACCGTTTCTTTCTTTATTTGCAGACATATAACTTTTTGTAACTTGCATTACGTATAATTCAAAACTGTTTCGTGTGAAAAACAAAATATTTTAATTATAAATCGACAATTTTTACTCACTCACTTCGATCCATGACATCATCATTATTGGAAAGAAAATGAAATCATTGGAATTGTTTTTGTTTTACAGAAGACCAATGGCCAACAGGGAATTTTGGTCTACCTAAGGCTACAACAAGGATGCCCTGGTGATGTGAAAAGTGGATGGCGCGAGGGATGGAGGTACCAGGATATGAAAGATGAAGGTGAAAGTTCAATGGCGTCATTTGGAAACCACATGGCTGTTAACTTTTCAACAGGAAAATTTGGAGTAGATATTACGCGAGCATTTTGTATGTTCAGCCAAATACACAAGGAAACAAAATCTTGGCCTAAAGGTTAGTGGCTGTTTTTATATTGTTTGTCAATGCTGTTAAAAATGAATAACAAATTAACACATAATTTGCAACTCTAAAACTACCCACAAAATTGTGCTTTATAAATTTAATCTTTTACTGCATTACTGCATGACAATCCAGCAACACACACAAACCCTCCATATGATTAGATCTTTGCTAAAACCGTTGCTATTACACTGAAAGGAGGAAAGGCATAAAGTTTTAACTCAGACCAATTTAGTGTGAAAGCATCAGTAGCGATTGCACCCAAGTCAGGCTGGAAAGACACGTATTTTCGAAACTGTGTGTTCACCCGGGACGCAATCAAATCAATTTCCGGTTTAAAATCGAGATCCGTTAGCACTCTTAAGAGCACTGATTGCTCAAGCATCCATTCCGCTTCTCTCTAATTTCTTCTCTCTCATGACTCAAAACTTGCCAAAAGATTTTTTTACCTGGATTGTAAGCGCAATTAATCCAAATGCCCCAGCAGATGCACCATTACCAAATTTTCTTAACTATATCATTACATATTTGGGAATGACTCGTTGCCACATGTTTTAGAATGCTGACTGCCGTTGTATTATCACAACGTATTCGAATATGCACATTCCTTTTATTTCAAGCCTATAGACCAAGCCTATAGACCAAGCAAAACAGAGAGTATCTCTAAATAATTAATGTGATTATTAGCCTCTAGTGTAGTCCATGTCCTCCCTGTTGAATCTCCCTTATATTCTGTACCCCAGCCATATGAGGAAGCGTCAGTTGTGATTTGATGCTTTAGAGTATCATGTGATAGTTTTTTATAGGCAGTTTCAATGTTATTGATCCATTATTTTAATTTTTTAGTGACTCAATACGGCAGAAATGTAGGTGAACAAAAATCACCTTTTGAAAGTTTTAATGCATGACTTTTAGCTAGCTCTAAAATTCTATGATATAAAGGACCGTACTCTACCCCAGGAAAACTAGCAAATATTTTACCAATGACTGGAGCTACAGCTCTTATGGTGCATGGTCTGGAAGAAAGTAGTAGATTTGTCCAAGCCTTTTTTAAATCGCCTCATCTGTAGTTATGCGGATTGTCATTGATACCAGAATCTAAAATAAAGCCTACAGTAGCAACTCTCGACGTCATTTAATATAATAGCAAAGAAATGCGGCCACGAGCCGCCGAGACCAAAAATGATGTTTTACCGGTGTATATATATATAACTGAACAGACAACGGATAAATGTAATATTATTGTTTTATATAATAAAACTTAAAAATCCTATAATTTTTTGCAAACAAATTGTTTTTATTTCCCCAACACTTAGAAAATTGAAAAAGTCAAGATTTCGCAAATATCACGCGTGCATTATTAATTGGATTGAAGAAATGCTATTATTTTATTAGGTAGCTTAAGTCACGTGCTAAAATGTGATTGGCTGATAGAATAAACAAGCAATGGCTGATCAAGGACGAACTACAAATCAAGGTTTGAAAACCTTTTGCTTTTCTTTTTGCTCAAATACGTCAACCGCTTCAACTTAGTCTTTTCAAATGTTTAAATGTCTACATTTACCCATTCAAGGATAAATTCAGGTATATATTCAAGTAGTTTTGCGGTTTGCTTGTAATTTATAGACAAAAAGTTTCTGTGACGTCAATTCCGCACTTAAAAATCATTGCTCTCGACCAATGAAATTGCTTAAATTCTTAGCATTATTATATGAAATTATTTGTTTTATGACTCAATTAGCAAATAAAACATGTTTACTGTGTTTGCACAGACTTATGCAATTGACTTCATTGTTGTTTGTCAATTGCATAAGTCTGTGCAAACACAGTAAACAAAAATAAAAGTTACATGTTTGTAGATGTAGATCGTCCAGGTTAGTATAGTCCTGAGAAGGACTGTTTTTGTTGTTGTTGAGTCCTTCTCAGGACTATACCAACCCGGACGATCTACATCCACAAACATGTAACGATACTCCCGGGTTCAAACCATTTACTTTATTACAAAAATATTAGTGTAATAACAACAATAATTAGGCAAAAGAAACCAATGAGCATCTAATTTAGATTTTGGACAATGACAAATTGCATGAATGCGGCCACTTGTTTGTAACCTGCATTTTTAATTGCTTGTGCTTAATCTAAATTGAAAATTAAATTTTATCAATAAAAACAAATTAAAATTCCAGATAAACTTTATCAAGCACAACTTCGCTCGATATTGTGTTTGTGGGATATTTCCCTGAACCTTTTCGAGAAAACATGGCCAGTCACACCGAAGTATTTCTTTTTTTTTTACTTATGACTGCATTTACTATTGTCAATAATGTGGAAAGTCATAAAAGGAAGATTCGAACCAACAGACCCATCATTGGAATATTGACTCAAACAACGTACCTAACGCCTATCAAATATCTGGGACATACTTTCATATACGCTTCCTATGTGAAGTTTCTGGAATCAGCTGGAGCTCGTGTGGTTCCGATCTTTCATAACCGCACAAGAAATCAGACTCACAATTTATGCAAATCAATCAATGGTGCTTTACTGCCTGGGGAAGTTTCCAATTTAACTGAATCATTATATGCGCTGGTAGCAAGAGACATATTTGATTTTGCCGTGGAGACATACGATAATGGAGGTTATTTTCCAATAATGGGAATAGGTCTTGGTCATCAAATGTTTGCCACAATGTTTGATATCGTAAATAAAGATCTTCGATTGCCCACAAACGGACCAAACATTACAGAACCATTAAACATTCCACGCCATTATCGTCAAACTAAAATGTTTAGTAAACTACCAAAAAAGCTGGCAAAAGATTCGAAAAAGATAATTCTCTCCGGCCATTTTCGTGAATACAGTCTTCCGGTTGAATTATTCCAAAATACCGCAAATTTCAGCACATTTTTCAGAATCGTAACCTCCAATGTCAATATGTATGGAGAAGAATTCATATCCACAATGGAAGCAAAGGTATATCCGTTTTATTCAATGCAATGGCACCCAGAAAAGTTTCAGTTTGAATGGAACTCAGACGAATACGTCCCGCACTCGTCCGCAGCTATTCAATTAAGTCAATATATTTCAAATTTCTTTGTGAACGAGGCAAAGTATAGCAAACACAAATTCCCATCCATGGAGGAAGAAAATGATGCTTTGATATATAACTACAGTCCAACGTTTATGTTGCCCCTTAACGAAAGTTCGAGTGCAGTCCAAATTTACTTTCTGAATTGACATGAATAAGAGAGGCTAAACCAAAGGTCATTTTAAGGCCTCCCGTTTTCCATAATGTGCAATTCTTTTTAAAAAATGTGTGGTTCTAAAATCTAAATTGGGAGCTCCAAGCTTTGACTTTGGAGAAAGTGCGTAGAATCCCTAACCCGAAGGTAAAAACGCCAAAACATTTAATCCTTATTATCTTGTAAAGTAAACGCATAAATTTATTTTGTGTGAAATTCAGCTCTAGACAGAATAGCCAATTTAGCCCCATTATCTCATCAAATCGGCAATGGCTAAGAAGCAGCCCCTTGCCATGGAAAGAAATGAAATTACTGAAAGCTTACAATAAACAAGACTCGTATAATATACGTAAGCACATAAGTGCTTAACACCTTCATTAATATACTTTACATGCACATATTTTTATCTCACTCAAATTAAACTTCACAAAAAAGAATTGAAATAAAACATAATCTATATAGCCATATGCATTCATGATTAGTTGAACACATTTGATAACACTCCAACTAAACTTTTCACAGAAGATGGACACTTCTCTGGGATAATTCCCAATAATGCCATGTCAAGAAAGCTATAGACATTCATGCCTTCAATGTATTTTATATTGTACATATAGTACGTGGCCAACAAAGCAACCAGAGCATCGCCAATCTTTTTGGTCGTTACATGGCACAAAACTATTCCTTCTGCCACCACATATATAGTGTCACTTTGATAAAGGTCATCCACTACCAAAATACAAGGTTGAATTTGGGTTCTTATTTTTTCATCAAGGAAAGCGCCATTCTACGATAAAAAGACAGCAGAAAATTTAGAGAACTAGCTTGAGACTGCACAATAAAGTCTTAAGTACTTTCTACTTTCATTAGGGTTCACATCTACTTTCATTAAGGTTCACAAGTCACTTTTTGTTATGTGAGAAACAAAAATGAAGTAGTATGGTAATACTCATTTTATAGTAAAGATACAGTGCCAGTTTTACCTTAACAACTTTGATAACAGCTTCTTTAACATGAGGCGTCATCCTGCTGTTTGGCTGCTTGAAGACAATTTGAGCGATTTTGATAGCTGCTCTACCAGCACATTCGCCTAAAAAATAGCACACACTGCTACACAAAAGTTTATCAAGAAACAACTTCTGATCCTTCTTGGTTTTATTTCCTTCAAGAGAATTTCTGATGTGTATGAAGTTGATTATCAGCTGAAATACCTTCTTCAAGGATACCACTGTCAATAGCATTGTGCATTTTTTTCAAGTCTTCTGAATGTTTACCACCGTTTTTCTCAGCATATGCCAACAGCCTGTGACGCCAGACTTTTTTGAAGTTTTCCTTTACCTGTGTAGCTACGTCTTTATTCCCCATAACTTCTGCAAATTCAGCCTTGATCTGTAGTAATATAATATACAGCAGTTACCTATAAGCTTTGCTAAACTTATGTACGTATTTTATGGGATGAAAATACTACTAGCTACTAACGTATAGCAGATTTGTTAAAGGAGGGAACATTTCAACAACTTTCACTATTCTTCTGACGTCTTCCAAGACAAGCGATCTCTGAAGAATAGCATGCAGCCATCAACTCCTGAATTCATGATCCTTTTTAGCTGACTGCCACTCCTTTTTTATTTTTGATACAACTGCTGTAAGATCTTCACTTTCGCACGGCTCGGGAACGTTCGTCCAACAGTGACTGTTCCTTTTCTTTGCTGTTTTGCCTTTAGTTTGCGAGACATTGGTAACAGGCGTGTTATATCTCTTTCTTTGCAATTTTTTGAATCGGTTATAGATCAATTTTTTGAATCGGAGAGTCTGAAATAATGACTTCAAGCAATTCTTGGGAAGTAGTACATGAGGCAGAAGTAGATGAAGCAGAGCTTTTTTTCTTTTGGGGCATGGGATTTCCATTAGAATCAAACACCTTAAAAATAAGCATGACAAGTTTAAACAGTTCTAAAAAACACTAAACGTTTGCTGGTATAAACATAACATTCTGAAAAGTTTTTAGAAAGAGTTTGATCTATTAAGTGCTCACGTACGTACCATGCCAGAAAGTTTCGACCAAACTGCAATAGCAGCACGCTTTTGTCTAAGATTCTTAAACATGTCACTAAACTCTTCTCTAGTCAATGTTGGAAAGAGTTCTCCATCAATCTCTGCAGCTGAGAAGGTACGTATATTTGTTATCGTAATTTGATTTTGCAAAGCTTAGTTGCAAGTTTGTAGTGAAAAACCCACTTTCATTATCAAACAATCTTTCCAAGCTCTTGCTTTAAGCTTGAGTGTTTTTACATACGGTAAGTTTGCTATTATTATAGCCGATTTTTTTCAAAGCTTTTCCGAATGAGTAAGGGTATGTTTATATGGAGCCGAGTTACCCGGCTGAGCGAGTTACTCGGATGTGTCATATAAATGATTGACCGGGAAATGCATTCATTTTATATAAGGGCCGAGTTACCCGGCTCGGCGAGTAACTCGCTCAGCCGGGTAACTCGGCTCCATATACACAGGCCCTAACAAGTCAACACATCATTGCTCATCCTTTCTATTAAAATATTACGTTTGTAAGTCACGTGAAAGCGCATGCGACCTTTTGTCAACGTGCGACCATTGTCAACGTCTGACTGACCTTGACTACGAAAAAGGCGGTAGTTTTTACAAAATATACCAGTGAAATATGTGGAAAGTTTTTATATTGTTTTTTTTTATATATTATTTTTGGGAAAATAACTATTTCCTTTATCTGCGTTATAAATATAGTTTTTTTTCTTTTAGAATTGGTAATAAAAGAATTTCTTGATTGATATCTCATGAAACAGTGTATTGTTTTTACATCATTAAACCTCGATCGGCATTTTTTTTGAGTAAACAACGTAGGTCTCGTACGCAAAACAAGCTGTCTTCGTCGGTGTCAATGAATAAAAGCATTATATATATGAGAAATGTCCTAAAATATTTCAAAGATAACTGTTATGTCTAACTTGGGAGAAACTTTCAACATCATATCAAAATTTTAGCAATGTCTTCTTCTAGGTTTTCATAAAAAGCGTCTTGCTGACATATAAATATATACAACAACTACCTTGAAATTTTTCAATGACTTCATTATCCACTCCATTCTTTTCCAATAACGTGGACAATTCAGAGGTGTTTAAATCATTAAATGAAAATTTTAAAGTATGTACTATCTTTTATAGGACTTCCTGGGTAAAATTCCTTGGAACACTCTACAAAATTGGGGCAATTATCCATGTGGGCTTCAACAATTTTCTGCCTGTTTTTGCTGAGATTAAATCAATCCATGTTTTAAACTCATCAATTGAAAGGGTGTATTTTGCTGCTGAAATCTTGTACACAAAAGAGTTTTGTGAGCATTACCGTACCTATGTTCTAAACAGAACAGTACATCCTGAAATTCAGTTTTACCCACAAAGATCATTGCAGTACTATCTCCCACTTCACTTTCTGAATCCTGTCTGTTCACATAACCAGACACATGTTTTGCCTAAATGTGATATTCACAATTACAATTAATACCAATATTTACTGATTTAAAATATGAAGTGTGCATGTTCATAGCAAATATCATCACATTGTAAAGTATTGCCGATCAAATTGCTCAAAAGTGCCATTACTTCATCATAAAGCAAAGAACAAATTCCATTTTTAATGAAAACAGTGCATTTCTTAAGGTTCCCTAAGGCATATTTTCTTGTAAATGTGAGAAATATGATAACTGGAGTCGCAGGTTTACATTTTGAAGTATTTTCAACTAAAAATAGGCTTTTGTTGACCAGAATGATTGAAGCATATGTTTTTACATATGTGTTTTTCTTTGTTCAGAATTAGTATAGGGGCAATATTCAGTATTGAAGCTGAGTTACAGCAAACAACAAGATTCATGAGTAAAGACTTAGATAACAAGGTGTATATATAAAAGAAATAAATATTTTGTTGTTCATTTAGAAAATATATAGCTAAGTACATCTTGAATTTATGTGATACTTCTAAGTTCACTAACTCTTTATATTGAAAAAAAAAACAGCTAAATAATCTCAAATGGGTACAACAAAAAATCTTACAAAAATTTTTTGAGAACTAAAATATCAGATATTTGTCATAATATGTGATTTAGTTTGTTTAAAAGCAATTAAAACTGCTAAAATGCAAAAAATACATTCGTACTAGACAATACCTGACATAATTTGTTTTCTGCCGCTCACTCCTACGACAATTGAATCACTTTCAAAACCATTACAAACAAAGCAAATGGTCGTCTTTAAAAACTCTTTACTTTTAATGATGATAGAATATTATTTTTCCTGCAATATCATAGTCATCTACGGCCGTTATCATAGTGAAAACAGCAATCGAAACGCGCGTGCATCGTGAAATAGTTAGCCGCCATATTTGTATTGAGTCACCCGATTCGATGCAGTCATCAAGTTGGTCTCGAACCAATTTGGCATCAGTTGTAGAGCAAAAATAATCCTCATGGAGCCAAAACGGCCCCTCTTGTCTGTTTGCCAATATGGCTGGCAAATTCAAAAGCCAAAACGACCTCATGGTGCCAAATTGGCCGTATATTTCTATTTTGGCACCAATTGGAGAGCAAAAACAACTGTCGTGGTGCCAAAACGGCTCTTTTGTCTGTTTTAGCCCTCATTGTTAGCCAAAACGGCTAGCAATATCAAAAGCCAAAACGACCTCATGGGGCTAAAATGGCCCATTTCTTTTTTACTGTGAATGCATTGAACCTAATCTATATAGATATAATATAACACTCTTCAAGTTTTTGTAACATCTTGTAACACCATTTTAGTTTTCCAAATTAATATAGAATCTGCAAGTGCAGTCTTTTTTGTTGATATGCTGGAACAGATGGTAGCTTATGATTTACTTTATAAATTTACTTGAAACCTGCTTCATTTCTTCAAATAAATGAACGTCTAAATGCGTCAAAAATACAGACTCAAATTATTTATGTGCCATTCGAGCAAGAAAAAAAACTAGCCAAATTTTTTTCAAGAGTCCACTCTTTAACAATTGCCTCTCAATCAGTAGTTTGTATTGACATGTTTCCAAATGACTTAAAGCAAGAGGAGTAAGATAAAGTGTCTTTCATTTTTAAGATTTTTAATTATTTTAAAATCAAGCACGAGTTTAAAACAAACATAACCCTTTAACAATCGGACCACTTGTCTACAACCCGCGTTTTCAAAACGTTGTTTGCTTTTTCAGGCCAACACAATCACGCTGACGCAATATAAATTTCCTTTTTAACATTGTATTCAATCATTTTGTTTTTGTAATCCATTACTAAACATGGCTCGTCACACTAAAGTGTTAAATCTTTTTTTACTCATAACAGTATTTATTATTGTTAATCATGTGGAAATTCAGACTAGGAAAATACATACCAACAGACCCATCATTGGAATACTAACTCACACATCGGATGGATGGCCATTTGCATTTATGGGAATCAATTTTATATCGGCTTCTTATGTTAAGTTTATTGAATCAGCTGGAGCTCGCGTGGTTCCAATCTTTGTGGACCGTCCATATAATAAGACGCTTAAATTATTGGAATCGATTAACGGTGTTATTCTTCCAGGAGGGACAGCAAACTTTACCAGCTCACTTTATTTAAATAAATCAAAGGAAATATTTGAGTTTGCTGTGAAAACCTATGACAAAGGAGGCTATTTTCCAATAATGGGCATATGTCTTGGTCATCAGATGCTTGCAGCAATAGTATATGGGCATTCTGCAGACATCCGCTCACGCACAAACACTTTAAACTTAACAAAACCACTGAAACTTCAAAGAAATTATCATCAAACGAAAATTTTTCGTGAGCTACCAAAAAAGCTCGCTAAAGAGGCAATGAAAACATTTTCAACTTATCATTATCATATGTACAGTTTATCCACAAGATTCATGAGAGAAAGCAAACGGTTGCGCGAATTTTACAGAATTGTTGCGACTGATGTTGATGTTGACGGTCTAGAATATGTATCCGTAATGGAAGCAAAAAATTATCCCATTTATTCGATGCAATTTCATCCCGAAAAGATTCAGTTTGAGTGGAATCTTCAAGAATCCATCCCGCACACCTCAACAGCTATTCAATTAAGTCAGTATATTTCAAATTTCTTTGTCAGTGAGGCAAAGTATAGCAAACACAAATTCCCATCTTTGAAGGAAGAAACACATGAATTAATTTACAACTACAATCCATCTTTTATGTTGCCCGTTTTTTCAAATTCAAGTTTTGTTCAAATTTACTTTCTTGATTCTGAATAAAAAGTGGAGACGTTAAAAGGAATACTATATTGATTAATTTATGTCATATTGACGAACACTAAAAATAAATACCACTGATTAATGTATATGTCATATCAATGAAAAATAACGTGGAATTGGTATGCAAAATCATCAAAAATGTACACCAACGCTTGTTTTCGCAGTATTATACAGGAAAAAGTTTAGCAACTAGCAGTTCTGGTCTAGTACATTTCTCTACTTTACAAAACAGACCATTATTTTTGGTAACCCGTCATTTAAATATGCCACTTGTAAATGACATGTAAAAGTTTTTTATCATATTAATTATGACAAAGCTAAGAAAGTTATGCGCACATATTATTTTGCAAGACATAAAGTACAAGGGGAAAAGCTTAATGCATTATATTTTTATTAATTTCCATAAAGAACTGTTCAGTGATGAAGCTGATCTACTTTAATTGGTAGCAATTAAACCCTGTGTAGTGACTAGAAGCAGAAGATAAACATAACAACTCGAAATTTATATTGAAGTATTAATCATGCGCATGCACGAGACGTATTTTATACAGACCAAGTCTCATAAAACGATCTCAGTTTTACCTTTGACTTCTCTACAGGAACTCAGGGAAGTGTCCAATTAAATGAAAAAAGGCCTAAAAATTAGAAATACCAGATGAAAAATAGCTAGAGGCTATCAAAACGAAGCTTTAATAAAAATTCAATAAGTGGTCAGCGATCATGCAGGAAATGACTGAAAGTATTCCCAAAAATGTTGAAAAATTGGTAAGTAAAATATTTTATAGAGTAAACTATATTATACACGATGCTTTTATTAACCAAAATAATCAGCAAATAGCTATTAAGACGATATTCTATAATTCTTACGAAAAGTCGTTGACAGAGAATCATTTACCTTGATGTTACTGCTAGACCATGAAAAAAAATCATGAAATGTAGAAGTTTCGTTGGAAGTAAACTAGAAGTTTTAGCTTGTAATCACTTTACATTCTATTTCCATAAAATTACATTCATTCAAATACCACTTAGTGAGCAAAGAGTTATTTACTGGACGAGAAGAATGTGGACATGATATGGATAATTAATGAGAACAAAACAAAATGGCGGCAAGAGAGAAACATAGCCACTTTTTTCCACGAGTCAATTTCTGAGGAAAAGCTACTAATAAAAACTTACTATCATACATTTTTGAAAAGCATACTAGACAACTATTACATTGATATATGTTTTATTTGTTCCTCTTCATTGAGCCATCGCACCTCTTCGGCTGATAAACTATAATCACAAATGTCGAGGAACGGTGTTTGCATTGCTGAGTCAATGAAGACTACATCCGAAGCGAGTTGCTAATGAAGTGGGTTGCAGAAGTGTCAGTGACATGTTAAAACATTGCTTCAGAAAAAAAAAACCTAGAATGAAATGTCTACACAAGTTGGTGAAAATTCTTTTAGCACAGCTGGAGGAAGGTTTGCCAAATGGAGAAATAACTTTGCCATTGATCAGTGGGAAATTTCAGCGTCGTACTCTGACTGACTTAGAGTGTGTGAGAGATTGAATAAGTTTTTTAAGGTTATTGCGACTGTCGATTTACAAAAAGTCAGAAATCAGTATCAGAATGTGTTTTGCTGTGATTTCCCATATATTGGAAAAAGACTCTGTAATACGATTATCTGCCCATGTAAACAAAAAAATGCTGACCCTATGAAAATTACATGTTGACTAGACATTGCTGGTTTATTTTAGTCCGTGTGTTTGGAAACGAAAGCTTATGCAAAACATTTTATTTGCTGAAATAATACAATAATTGAGTCTTTGTGCTAGTTATAGAGTTCTCTCGAAAACCATTTGAATTATATACATGCAACTTTAAGTTTGTGCTCGTTAAAAAGCTGTTATAAAATCTAAGGAATTTTGCCAACAACCTGCATTTTGATTAACAATACGTGAATACGTGCATAAAAACAATTGTCTTTTGCCGCAGTCGTTACTCTCACTTGTGTTTGACGATTGTCAACAATTCATTTTTGTCTCATTTATTCGTTAAAACTCAAAAGTAAGCCTCCGTTTCAATAAAAGTTCTTTAAGAATGACGAACTACGAACCTGTAACAGTAATTTTATCGGGGTAGGGGAGGAGTACTTTTTCATCCACCCCTATAAGTTATCGATGATGAATGCAACCACAAGCTCATACCTGCTTCAGACAACCAATTACAAAAACAAAACGAAACTCGTTAAATGATGCGGTGATCGTGACGCTATCATTGACTATTGCACAAAAATGTTTCTTCCAAAATGTCTTATTACAAAAAATCTTGTTATGTTAATATTCCTGATATTTCTCAATGTAAAGCTAGGAGGTACTAGACACGGGAAACGGCAATTACATCATGCTGTGCTTAATGAAAGACCGATCATTGGAGTCTTGACTCAGTCGACCCAAAGATTTTTCCCTCTTGATGAAATGGGTAACAATTACATTCCTGCCTCTTATGTTAAGTTCGTCGAATCGTCGGGAGCTCGAGTTGTACCAATTTTTAATAATTTTACCAAAACTGAATTACGTAGATTATTTGAATCAATCAATGGCGCTGTTTTTCCGGGTGGAAAGGTAAACTTATTTACTTCAAAATATGCAAGAACAGCGAAATATATATTTGAATTTGCTCGGGAAGCCTACGATCGTGGAGAATATTTCCCAATAATTGGCATGTGCCTTGGTCATCAGCTATTAGCCACTATTATAAATGGCGCTCGTGTGGATCCTCGAATACCTACGAACACGACAAATATCACAGCACCGCTAAATCTTCCAAAAAATTATTATGATACCAAAATTTTTCGCCATCTACCGAAATATCTGGCTAAAGATGCCAACATGACGGAAGTTGCTGGCCATTTTCATGAATACAGTCTTCCAGCTGATTATTTCCATGCAAGCGTAGTACTGAATGAATTTTACCGAATTGTTACATCTAATATCATAGACGGTCACGAAATCGTTTCCACACTTGAAGGTAGAAAATATCCGTTCTATGGATTTCAATGGCATCCAGAAAAGCCTCCGTTTGAATGGAATTCACATAAAACCATCCCACATTCCTCCACAGCTATCAAAATGAGTCATTATGTTTCTGATTTCTTCGTCAACGAGGCAAAACGCAGCACACACAAATTTCCATCTGAAGAAGAGGAAAGACGTGCACTGATATCAAACTTTAATCCAGTTTTCACTATAGGATTGGATCCAAATGCGACTTTTTCACAAGTTTATTTTTTCGACTGAGCAATTTTATGAACCAAGTTTACATCTGTTTTTTGGAACAAAAAACATGTGGCCAACCAGGGCACTTTAGGAAATTTGTTTGTCAAAATATGAGAATATTTATATAGAATATTTACTGCCGAGTATTACATTTTTCACCTTTATACTTTCCTGTTCAGAGACCTTAGGATATCTTTATTTGGTGGTGGGAGTTGAAATGGTTTACTTGCTATTGCAACAAACAAATTTGTGATGTCTCTCCTCACTCCTTCTCCTAAAAACATCGCATCTCCGTAGTTCCTGCTGTCATGAACCTAAAACTAAATAATTTTACTGAAAGCTGTTATAATGAGGGACACTATAGAGTACTGTTTAAACATTTTAAATATTTTATGGCGGATTCATTTTCCATATTATACGGTATTGCAACAGATTACAGACTTCTTTGATATGACAATTTCTATGTAAAAAATTTATACAAATTGATCCAAAATGCTTGTGCAATAATCTTCATTCCTACCATATTGTTTGTCTGTACAAGAACTCAAGAATGTTTGACAGCATGAGCCTGTTCGCTGGTTGATTTGTGCTGTTATTTTGTAGTGAAGTCAGCCCGCGAAATTTGTGCTAGTCATGCTATTTAATAATTGGTATTCATTTACCTAACAATAGATTTTCTCAAATGATGCTAATAATCTGAAATTGACAAGGGATACGCCACTGCTGTTATTAGAACATGTTTGAGAACAATGCTTAAGTATTTTCAATCTCAATTCGAACTCATCTCAAAATTTCTCATAGACAACGACGTTAAACGTACATACATGAGAAGTAGATACAGTGTCATCTGTAAGAAGGACTTTCACCCTCAGTCTTTTATTAACCTTTTGGTTGGATTCATAAGAGATTCTCTCTTGACTGAGGTGAAAGGGTGAAACAAGTCAGTGACTTGAAGGACAGCGACCAATTCTATCGCACAAAAAAGTCGCATTTTCATTTGTGGGTATTTATATGAGTGAATAAGCAACTTTCTTGTATATTGACGTTATTTTAATAAAATTTTACCATTCGCATCCCTAATACTGCACGACCTCTGAGCACCAACACTGTGCACGACTGCCGGGCATGTAATCACCGGGTTCCAATAACTTTCTTTCCTCGTTTCTAGTCCTACAACCACAACACGTCGTGACTAACGTTCTTCGTGACGTCATCACATAGAATGTAAACTCCTGCATCTTTATGGCGAAGACTTCGTGTGAAGTTTTCATTTATTTGGTTTTGCTCTCTGAACGTCTGTGTGCTAGTCTGTCCAAATATGTGCAATAAAAAACAAAGAAAAATTACGATGAAAACTTGACGTGTTATACATTCTCTCGGTAAAACATTTGTGGCGAACTCGTGGCATTCATCTGCCTTTGAAATAGATGTCTGTTGTTCTTCACGGCTGTTTGGAGGTTTTGTGAGCAATAATATGGAGGGTGACAGTAGTGAATGCAACATTAAAGTTGTATGTCGGTTTCGGCCGCAGTCTCAATCAGAAGTAAACAGTGGTGGATCTTTAATGACAAAATATCCTTCAAAGAGTAATGACACGACGGTATTTGGGGTATGACAAATTCTATTTAGTGATTTTGACGTGATTTTCTGTGTTGTTTACAACCCACTGAGCGGCATTTTATTTTTACAGAATCGTGTTTATACTTTTGATCATGTCCTCCGACCTACAGCTACACAAGAAGAAGTCTATATGATTTCAGCAAAGCCCATTGTCAAAGGTTTGTTTTGGCCGGCATAGCCAGGATATTAAGGTCCTTCTAATGTGTTTCAACATCGGTTAGAAAATACTTCAAATAAATTTTCATACTGTTCTTACGTATATTTACGACTGGCTTTGCTTTGATGTAAAACAGAATTTTTACGAATATTTTTCGATCAGTCAGTTTGTATGGAATTACTAATGGCATGCTTAGGTCAACGGCGCTACTTGCAAAATGACATATCATATATCTTTTGAAGTGTTTCGAGTTTGCATAAATTGTTTGTACTGTGAATTGTATTTTGTTTGATTGTCTTGTTGTGTGAGGTTATTGAAATTTAGTGTGAGATTAAAGTGGTTCACGTATTCGTTCATAAGTTTTGGACCTTATACCGAGTTTTATTCTTATACGTACGTTCGTGCCACGTTTAACATTTTTAATTTTTTGTACAACTTTAAAGGATATTTTTAAAATTATATAAATTAATTGTGTTCCTGTGTTGCTCTTGTACAAAGGCTCTTCGACCAGTTTTCCTTTGTTATACTAAATTATTTATTCGTAAAAGACAGTCATGGATGACCACGAGTAATTAAATGCTTTCTTTTTTGTTCTTTTGAAATAATTCTTCAAAAACTTATAACACAAATAATCAAAATTTTTGCTAATGTATTGTATACATTATTTTGTTATACTTAAAGGCCAGGAAGTGTTATAAAAGTGAATATGAATTGGTACATTTAGTAAATTATACATTATGATTTTGCTAAACTGCTTGAAAAACAATACTTTGCAATTTTACCCTTAAAATTATCAATATCTTGCTGTTGGTTTGCCAATAAAACACACCTTATTTGTATGCGATTTGTATGCTTGCAAACAATCTGATATTTTATTAGAATTTTGGTGTAATTACATTGATTTTAATTTCATTTCATTTCATGAGATTCTTATTTTCTTTTTGCTTGTGTGAGTTGAAAATTTTGTTCATGGATGTTTAATCTATTTTGACTATTTATCTAAATTTAATGAAAATAAAAAATCCTCATTTGTCATATATTTCCCAGATGTTTTGGGAGGTTACAATGGCACAATTTTTGCCTATGGGCAAACATCCAGTGGAAAAACACACACTATGGAGGTATACCTTTTATGTAATGTTAGCAATATTGCCCCAATGGGCTATACTTTTATAGTTCAGTTGCTAACAGTTTCTTTGTATGAAAACCTCCACTAGTTTTGATTTTATCTTATTTTAGGGTGTTCTTGGAGATGAGGAGTTACAGGGTATCATTCCTAGAATTGTTGATGACATTTTTAATTATATCTATGACATGGATGAAAACTTAGAATTTCACATCAAGGTGACGTTTTTCTCAAGTTCTTTTGTACTTATTGTTGTTTATAGTTCATTTTTTTTGCAATCTTCCCAACATTAAATGCCTATTTGCAGGTGTCATATTTTGAAATTTATTTGGACAAGATACGTGATCTTCTTGATGGTAAACATTTTGAGCCACTCAGCAGTTTTTTATTAAAATATTGACACTTTGCAATTTTAATAGAATAACAATCATTTTTAGTTTCAAAAACAAGCCTTGCAGTTCATGAGGACAAAAACAGGGTTCCTTATGTCAAGGTAAATGACAAATTTAAGAGTGGTTAATAAATTATTACTAATTCATGGATGTAGTTTTATGGTATTCATTTGTTGTATTGTGTTGTTATATTGTATGTTACTACACTCTTATTGTAGGGTGCTACAGAACGCTTTGTTTCAAGTCCAGAAGAAGTAATGGATGTCATGGAAGAAGGAAAAGCAAACAGACATGTTGCTGTCACAAGTATGTGTCCTTAACCGACCATCGAATAATCACTTTTCACATTGCTACAAACAAAACCAAAAGCTACATAGCTTATATTCAATTTACCTCCTGTAAATTTTGTATGCAAAGAATCGAATTGGCTTTTTCAACGATCATTGTTGCATCTAAATTTTATCCTTTTGGTTTTGTCTTCCATCATTTTGCTATCTTTTGCTGATATCCCCTTGCTAAGGCCTAAAGTTAAAGTTTCCTCGAAAAGATTTTCCATCTGTGAAAAATGTTGCATGATTGGCTTATTCTGATTGCTATTTTTCAATTGTGTGATGTCAACATCTATGGATGCTTCCATATTTTACATTTTATTTTTTATTTAAGCAAGCTGGTTGTAAAATGCATTTTATTGTTCTTATCTAGTCTTATGTATTTTGTTTTAAAATGAACAAACCAATGCTTGTTATTTGTTTGAAAATTACAATAAATGTAACATTGATTTTGTCTAGATATGAATGAACATAGCTCAAGAAGTCACAGTATATTTTTGTTGCACATCAAACAAGAGAATACAGAAACCAACAAGAAGTTGAGTGGGAAGCTATACTTGGTTGATTTAGCTGGCTCAGAAAAGGTGTGGTATCTTACTAATTTTGTAAAGATGTACATACACTTGTATTATAATAGCTCGCTCACACTCAATGAGAGGGGATTCAAAATCACCACAAAGATGATATTTTTACTCCATTAATTGGTTGATTTGAAATACTTTCGCAAAGATCTTGCCTTCAATGGAGAAATGAGTTTACCATTGACTAGGGAGCAGTTTGCACTGATCTGCTCTCAAGTTCTCCCAAAGGTCTCCTCGGTTTTCATAAGCCCGTGCAAACACAGTAAAAATCTTTTATTTCGTAAATGAACTACGTATTATTTGATTTCTTGTAAGGTATTTACAAATTATTGTTCGAAGATACAGTATGCAGCAATAGCAATGAATTAACAAATATACTCCACTTGTATCTATAACTCGCCTATTTGCAAAAAAAACCCACAATAAACCAATGCATAAACAGAAGTTGGCCGATTACTTTACGTTCAATCTAACAAACACCTTAAAAACGGCTATTCATTATCAAAACAGTCATTTATAGCACTGTCAAAAACGTAGAAACTCAGTTCTGTCAAGCGCCCAGCTAAACTTAAAGACTACTCATTGTTACTATTACTATCAAAATAGGTATGAAATATGAAGTTTGATTTTTTGTGAATTTTTGGACGCGGATGGCTGTTTTTTTTAAAAGTGCTTGCTATGAAGAATCTTAGTAAAACCACTGCCCATACAATTGTGTTTTTTTAGGTCAGTAAAACTGGTGCTGAAGGCGATGTTCTCGAAGAAGCCAAGAATATCAATAAATCTTTATCTGCCCTTGGAAACGTCATCTCTGCTCTTGCTGAAGGCACGGTAAGTAGTCATTTTCATTTTTTATTGGAATCAAAGGTGACACTTGAGGGGAATGGGGGACATTTAACAATCCGTTGGAGAAAGAAACGCGAGAAATAGTACGAAAATTAATGTCTCTTTTTAATATTGCTGGAGCTTGGTAAAAGTACTGCTGCCTTTATTCGTAATCTTTAAAAGAAATAGTTCATTTGTAATGCCGCACTCGCTATTCAAAAATATCATAATAATAATAAGTTGATTAAACTTATTGCAAGTAATGTTTTAGTTCAACACCTAAATCATGTTTTTCAATTCTCAACTTAATAAGCATGTCATTTAAATCAATATCTGTAAACCTTCCACTCACTGTCCTTCTGACTGCCATAATGAACAGCAAACGTCCAAGCGAATCACGGAGTCCCTGGCTTGTGACCGGTATAGCCAGTTTAAAGGTCTACTTGAACTAAAGTATATTTTGTTCCTTCTCCACTCTTCCCTCGTCAACTTGCCAGCGACAACTGAATTCGAGCGAGATGTCAACCCAAATGACAGTTAGGAGGATAGTAAGTGGAAGGTTTACAGATGTTGATTTAAATGATATGCTTATTAAGTTGAGAAATAAAAACATGATTTCGGTGTTGAACTAAAAACATTACTCGCAATAAGTTTAGTCAACTTATTATTATATTACATTGTTTACATTTTTCTTCACATATTCTAATAATGGCTAATGATGTAACGTTTAGAAAAGCCACGTTCCTTACAGAGACAGTAAAATGACAAGAATCCTTCAAGAAAGTTTAGGTTGGAAGCACAATTAAAAACTAAAATCGTTGTAGCTATACATATGTGATCTTTTCTACTTTATTTTGTTTCAGGAGGAAATTCTCGCACTACAATCATAATTTGTTGCTCCCCATCAACGTTTAACGAATTTGAAACAAGATCCACGTTAATGTTTGGTCAGAGGTATTACGTGAAAATGATAATTAAAAATTTAGATTTTAGGGTGACAAATAAAGTCGACGATTTTATTTTGTTTGCTAAAGTTTCAATTTTTATTTATTTCCATTCCACGCAATTGCAAAATGAAACACCAATGCTTTGAATCAGCATATTAATCTTTTCGTTGGACTGTTACAGCAATCGTACTGCCTTGTACAGTTCAAGAATTCCTCTCATGTCGTTATTTAAGTTCTATTCGCATGTGATTTTCCGTGCTATGGTGCAGGTCTTTGTGCTCTGATGTGTTTTTATTAAAATATTTTTCGTACATTTTTGATAGAGCTAAAACAATCAAAAATACTGTGGTAGTGAACGAGGAACTTACCGCTGAAGAATGGAAGCGAAGATTTGAAAAAGAAAAAGAAAGAAATACTAAACTGAAGTCCACCTTGCATCGTTTTGAATCTGAGCTTCAACGATGGAGGAGCGGTGAGAGTTGCAGTAAACTGATCGAATATTTTTGATCGATGCTAAGTTTTTTCATCTTTGTTTAAGATGTTTAGACTGCTGTGTTTACAGTTTCACTGTCTTGCTATTTTTCAACATCCTTTCTTTTTTATAATTAGTTCAACAATGTATTTTAAATGATAAAAAACCTCAAAGATTTGCGAGATGGAATTTTTTTTTTACTGTATATATTTTAAAAATCGTATTAGTGTTATTTTAGTTGCATTAACAATGTACATTAATAACACATCCGAAGAAGAGTTGTAATAAAATAAAATCTTGTCACAGGTGATTCTGTTCCAACTGATGAGCAAGCTACTTCCAAAGATCAAAACCGTCAATCGGGTATCTTTGATAATTCATCGTTGATTGGCTCTCCCGCCTCAGGTGTTGGGTCGCCTCTTTCTGTTTCATTGTCTAATGACGAGAGAAAGAAATTCGATGACGAAAGAGTGAAGTTATTTGTACAACTTGATGAAAAAGTGAGTGTCTTGGCTGTTATTCACCCTTGGCTTTTATTCACAATACTCTGTAATAAAGTGATTGCTATCCATCTCGGGGAGTTGTTCATCTTATAGAATGGTGTCGATCTCAGAGAGATTTCTATCTTCTAGAGATGTCATCTTATGAAGATATCCATCTTAGAGAGATAACCATCTTAAGGAGATTTCTTCTTTAGACAAATTTTCATGTCAGAAAAACCTACATCCTAAAAGACATGTTAAAAGACATGTTATTTAAATTCATTCATTAAATAGGATGATGAAATTCAAACGCAAGCTGCAGAGATATCAAGACTTAAAGATCAACTTCAAGACCAGGAAGAGGTAACTGAATTTAATGGTTTTCTAATTTCCAAATTTTTCATGCTTATTACATTGACACTATATCTCTTGTCATATAAATTTCAGCGAATGTATCAAACGCTAAAAATAGTGTGTGACTTCAAATAATTTGTTAAAAAAGTTATTTTTCATGACAATATGACGAAGGACAAATGTAGTCCAACAGGCAATGTTTTTCTCAATGTTGAAATGTGCTCAGAATTGTGACATTTTTTTGACAACATGTGGGTTATGAAGGTATTGCTACAGAAACCCCGAGATTTATTCTAAGAGGACTGAGGGTGTTGTGTCGAAAACGGCGACTAACTTCTGGCTATGAGAAATTGTCATGTTTAGTCTTTACTTTGCTATCTGTTTCAATGGTTTTTCTTTGCCTACGTATAGCAAAACTTTGAGATCTTCTTGTTTTATGCAGAAAATGACAACGACGCGGTTCGACTCGGATTCTCTTCAATCACAAATTTCGTTGCTTCAAAAAGAGAACGAGAAATCCAAAGATGAAGTGAAGGAAGTCCTGCAAGCTCTTGAAGAACTTGCCATGAATTATGATCAGAAATTACAAGAAGTTGATACGAAGAACAAGGAAAACGATAAACTTCTTGAAGACCTCACATCTAAACAGGTATTACTTTAATTTTCCTTTACTTGTTTCTGTTATTGTGTTTGCACGACATTCGTATTGTTAAAGTTGTCCTTATATATCTCATTGCAGAAACTACTGGATCAAGTCAGTAAGAGTTATGAAGAAACAAAAGACATCAATAGTGTTTTGAGACGACGATTAGCAGAAATGATGAATAGTTTATTAAACGACCTGGTAATATTGCTTTCTCTTGATATTTCATTTGCCATAAAAATTTCATTTTCATCGCAATATTGATTTTATTTTCCATCAATGTTATGAGCACACGATTGTTTCGCTAGGGTGACATTGGAACAGTTATTGGTGGCAATGCTGCTGAAATCAAGGTGAATGACACTCCGTGATGCGTGCTTGTCTCCATATTGTTTTATTTCTATATATATATATATACACGAGCAGGACCGATTTTTTCTTTCCTTCGCAAATTGTGACATAGGCTGCTTGATATATCTTTTAAGGAAACGAGGCGGATAACGTTATTGGGCATTGTTGTTCTGTGAATTCAATTACGGTATTGTTTTAGAAACCGATTATGGATGTATCGGGAAAGTTAGATGAAGATTTTACCGTTGCAAGATTGTATATCAGTAAAATAAAAACTGAAATAAAATCGTTGGTTTCGGTAAGTTTCACAAATATTGCGCATCATTACAATACTCTAGGAGAAAAGTATGCAACTACGATTGTTTGATGGCGACGTTTTTGTAGTAACAGAATATAGTTACCTTCCCTTGTAGTTACCTGTCATAGAAATTTGCATGTGTAGTAGTTTTGAAATGTACCCTTTATTGTATTTTTGGCATTCAATTCAGCGATTGCATACAATGGGAAATTCCGAAGAACAATTGAAGAATGATCTTGAAAAGTCAAGTAAAGAACTACAAGCGTCTCAGCTTCTTGTATCCCAGGTATGAAATGTTTCCATACATTTTATGCTTGTGCTGTTCAATTTCTCAATTACATATTGTCGACTATTTTTAAAATCATAATTTTACAGCATGAAGCCAAAATGAAAACATTGAACGCAACCATGAAGGAAATGGAGGCAAAGAAACGAGTATTGGAGGAAGCTGTTGATTCTCTCAATGAAGAAATGAGTGAAGTCAGAGCTGAAGGTATGATACGTACGTAGCATAAAATAAGTATGCGTTTGGTGTGGAACAGACAATGCATTTTTTATATATTTCTTGCCTCACACATATTGACTTTAACCAGCTCATTCCCTTTACTTCTGTTTTTCTGCTCTTTAAAGGACCATATTTTAGGTCTTTTTGTTCTCAAGTAGACAATTCACTTCACATTTTAGCTAACGTTCAAGCTTTGGCTCTAAAAGATAAAGAACAAGAGCATGCTGGCTTAGTTGAATCTGCATCTGAAATGAAGGTATATTTCTTAGTAATGTCTACGATGTACTTTATGTAACAAAGTAGGACACCTTTGCATTCTTTCCATTGAACTGTATATACATGTAGCTGGAAGGCGACTTCCCGCCAAAACTTGAAGCCAACAATTTAACTAGTTCCAGTCTTTCCATGTGCGGCTAAAGGAAAGTTCATATACGACGATAAACTAAAATGCGGGATTTGATCCCAGACACGCGTGTCTGAAGGATAAAATTTGGCTTCATGCAAACATAAGCATGTTTATCTAAAGTTAGCCTTCCAGTTGTATATTTAGTTCAAGGATTCTTTGTTTTACGTTTGCGGACGATCTCTGACTCTTAGAACGCCATCTTGTGTGTGCTCAAAGTTTCAAACTGTATGAATTATTATGAGATATTTTTTTACCGTTTGTCTATTTTTATGTAAAGTTTTATTTGTTAAGGTTGCTCTGGAAAAAGAAATGGAAGTTCACCGTGAGGTGCAACAGAAACAAATGGCTAAATTACGTGATGAAATTCAAGAAAACGAAGCGCTCATTGCTGAATTAAAAGAGTTAGTACACAAGACAAAACTCTCAATTTGGCGAATATTACCCTTTGCACTTTCTTATTTAATGTTTTATCTTTAGAGCCAATCAGAAACAAGCATTGGCCGAGGAGCAATTACGGGTAAAGTATCATGTCTAAATTTTGAAACAATCGCTAAAACCTTGACATAGTTTTATTATTAATATATAGATTGAAAATGAGAGGTTAAAGAAAGATTTACAGGATAAGACGAAGAAGATCAGTGAATTGAAGTAAGTGAACTGATTTCTTTATTTGTCGCATTTTTCTTCTTTGGATTTTGGTTTTCACTTCGTTCAAAGTATATTGTACATTGAAAAATTGTCATTTTATATTGAAATATCGCATTCTGTTTTAGTGTTGAATCTGACAAGAAAGAGCAAGCTAAGGCTGATTTAAGAGGATTGGAGGAAACAGTGGTATGTTATGTTATGTTAAAAAAATCGATGCTTTTATGCAAATACTCTTCTTGTGTAGGATCGGTAGCTTAGAGCGCATTTCACTGCACATATTGTCATTTCTAACGAAAGAAACAACTTAAATTGCAAATGGATCTCTTTGTGTTCTAATAGTTATGATAAACATGAAAGCCCCGCAGAGTGGTTTTAAAAGAGCCATTTTTGTATATTTTTGGATTTTTAAAAGCACTTTGCTTGGATTTAATATTCATCATTAGAATTCGCTTCCCTCGCCTTTTACTTCTTGATCACAATTTAATTCTTTAAAGAAAACACTCGAATTTAATGTATTTGCAATAAATTTTAATGCATGTACGTTCGTATTCACCATTGCATTACCAATAACTGACTTTTTCCAGGCCAAAGAATTAGCATCTCTGCATCGGTTACGACAACTGTTTGTAAAAGATTTGCAATCACGGTTAAAGGTACATTATGAATTATCGATTGATATGCGATCATATGTAGATAATATCATTGTATACTCTTCAACAAAATTTTATTTGTTACCAAATACTTAACACTGAATGACGTTCATATATTGTTGACAAGTACAACATATCTGTTTACTCTTAGCCTCATAGTAGCGAAGGTGACACTGAGGATGACAGCAGTAGCCATGCTCAAAAGCAAAAGATTGCTTTTTTAGAAAATAATTTGGATCAACTGACTAAGGTTCACAAACAGGTAATGCATAGTTTATATCACAAGACTTGATACTTTTCACCAAGAGATAGAGAAAATTTACTAATATGTTTATTGATTAAGGTTAGTGGAGTCCATTATGTTATTCTATAGTTAATATTTATTGTTTGCTTCTATCTTTTGCCTAGGGTTCATTAGCTTGTAAATACCGAGGTTCAACTGTTTCACTAAACTGTGATGATTTTCACATGTGTCAATATGAATTAAAATCTAATGATTTAAACACCATTTTTAACCATTTTTTTTGTTATGTTTTTGTTTAGTTGGTCCGCGATAATGGAGAATTGAGATGTGAACTACCTAAATTGGAGAAACGTCTACGTGCAACACAGGAAAGAGTGAAAGCTTTAGAGCAGGCTCTGAAAGAAGCAAAGGAAGGAGCTCAAAAAGACCGTGCAAGGTTACATTTTTGCTTATGTTGTATATAAAAACAAACATAAGTCATGAAGAAAGGATGCTTAGAAAGTATATTTGTTTTATTTAAAAGATAATTTTCATTGACCTCTTTTCATTTTCGAAAAGGTATCAAAAAGAAATGGAAAAAATGAAAGAAACAATGAGAAATAAACAAGGTACAATTCCTTTGTTTCAACACAATATTCAATAAAAAGCTCGTCGAACATGAGAAAGTTGAATATTTATTTGTCTATATTAATATTAACACATTTAACTTGTTATTGATTGCCATGAAAAAGTTTGTCTGAATATTTGTTTTTTTGGCGCACAATTGTCTTATTTTCTGCACATGGTGTTGTTTTTTATCTTCTTTCAATTCTTTTTTCTTTTCACAGTAGCGGCAAGAAAAGGTGCTCAAGCCCATATAGGTACACACTACTACGTATGCATGATAACAATAGATACTGGGGGATAATAGTGGTATAAATTGGGCAATTTTTCAAGTTTACTTAAAGCATAGGATTTCCGATGTTAAAGGTTCCCTGACATAGTTTTCGATATTTTATTGCAGCAAAACCTATCCGCGCTGGTCATCAGCCTTCCAGCTCTTCTTTACGGACTGGTGCGAACACCATAGCCAGTGCTGTTGTGGGTGTCGGTAAAGTGATAGCAGGAGCAGGCTCAAAAACCATTGATGAAGTTTCATCACAAGTTGCAATGCCTGTTATACGTGGTGGAAGCAGGACGACAAATGAGCCAGTAGTAACGTATAGTAAACGAATTCGTAGTGCTGTTAGTAAAGAAACATTGGCAACACATCCAAAGATAGGTTCAGGGTTAGTAATGTCTTGAAATTAAATGAGTTAGTGGAAATGAACTGGTTGATTAAGTTTAACGGCATCGTCTTGTTTAACCGTTGTAACATCTGAAGGTAGCGCATTTTATTCGGAGCAGAGAAAATTGTCCCACTCTAGTTATGAAAAAATTAATTGTTTTGATTACGTAGAAGACTTTAGAAGACTTTGTTGTTGTTTTTGAAGAAACTCCAAATTACCAGCCACAGTACACTTTTGAAAATTGCCAGACACTCATAAGTTATGATTGCAATTTGCAAAGGTTATGGAGCATAAGTTGATTCTTTACGCAACCGTAACTATAGAAATCATGCATAAATAAATAGCAATTTATGTTATTGCATATCTACGCCATTTTGACGTAAAATAAACTGGCTCAAACATTTCGTCTGAATTTAACGATCAACTTAACAATATTTCATAACTTTCTTTGTCCATATGTGGTCATGATGGATATGATTAGATTTAAAACTGTTACTACTCATGATTGATTGTATATCATTGATATTACAGAAATGGAGAGCATCTTCCTGTTGGAGTTCCCACCAACTCTTCACCAATTAACGGTGAGGGGCGTGGTTGTGACGTAACTCCTCGTACAACCAGTGTCGATCGGTTGAACTTTATGTCCAATGAAGAGTACTCCCTTCAAAGCTCTGAAGCAAATCATAGATCGCCATTAAAACCAACAGGAAAAGAAGCTGAACTAGCAGCTGCTCTAAAGAAAAATAGACGACGATCCGGTTCATCACCTGGTAATCCTGGTAAGAATAATGAACGGTTTTCCCAACAACTTTTTTAAATTAACATAAATTAGAAGATCAACTACTAAATAATGTAGATATAATTGGAGACAATGTCAGTTTAATATGAATTAGAAAATTAAAAGTTATTTAGTAATTCTCGAAGACCTTGCAGCGGGAATCTTTCTGAAAATTGTTTATGTGTTAGGTTTCTAGTAATCATGTTTTTTATTGTTTTTTTAGGACCATGGGAAGTAAGAAAACCTGATTCGTGAAAAAAAGTTAGCATTATGCAAACTTGAGAGTACACCCCGTAATGACTAACATATTAAATGGTGAATCATACTCAAGTCAAACATCGTATTTTGCTGAAGAATAAACTGTGTGGGAAGCATGGCTGCCTAGTTTCAGCTTAAATTTGAGGATAGATTAATGTCATTATCACGTCATTTTTGTGACGTCATATGAATAAAAGTCTTAGGTATATTTTATTTCCCAAAATTAGTAAGAAAATAAATAAGATGAAACAAAATAATCAAAATTCATTTATTTTTAATTTTCTTTTATGATTTCGTTTGATGAAAGTGACCACGTCACCTTTACGTTTGATCTATCATGCCTCGAACTTTATGTTAAGCTTCTATCTCTGAACTGATCGAAACCGTGTTGATCTTCTATACTTCCGTACTATAATATATTATAGTAATAATCAACTCGATCATCCACGCCTATATCTTTTAATTTTTAACATGATCGTTTCACGATCTTAATCTTCTATCACTTGATATTTAGTTTGATAATCCATGGCACAATCCTTAATCCAAACCTCCATCATGCCTAGATTTTTGGATATTCCATGTTTCGATCGTTTCTTTGATCATTTTTGAATTAATTTAGTTCTCCGCTTCAATGTCTTCAATGTCTAATTTCAAGCATGAATGCTAAATTCTCCCAAGCTGATAGGTATATTCTCCCAACTACGCAAAGTTGCTTATTAATACATGAAGTTGATAAATTATTGTCACAAGACACAAGACGGGCTCAGCCAGTTTGTTAATAATTGTTAATTATTTAACAAAAATTAACGCTGCATACACAACAGCACAAATGTAACATAACCTGTGAACATAACAAGCAACGAAAGAGGAGTACGAAGTTCACTAACCATAAATGCTGACGAAGGTGAACTCGGTTCTGCCTATGGAACTATGATAACGTTTATTGGGCTGTTCATATTATTTGCTCTATTTTGGCTCATTTTAATATCACATAAGAGCATTTTTAACGTGTAAGTTTGAATTGTGTAAGGCTGAAATTAAATATTTTGTAATTGTATAAAATGTTTATATAAATACCGCGAACTTTTGATTAATGCAGTGACTTTGATGACTCTCTTTGGTCATAGATCAGGTTAATGCATATATTACTGCGCAGTCATACTTAAATGAGAAAAAATTCTATAGAAGAATACTAGAGTATTTAGGTTAAAACCTTACTGAAATCTTTGCAGGCTATAATAGTTGGTAAGATAGCAATTTAGCATCATTTCAATATGTCATTAATTCTGCAGTTATGCTAAACTTGGAAATATCAGAAGACTATATTTCTTTAAAAATAATGGCTGCATGCATTGTCACTGTGTTGCTCATTTTTTTATTTCTCAAACGAAGTATTGATTAAATATATACATGATTAATTAAGTTGATAAATCTATGTTACAGACTCTTGTCATGGATATTGGCTCTTATATTGAAGAAAACACTCCCGGATGAAAATGCTAATATAACAGTAGAAGATTTTGGGTTTTTCTGTTTGCGTGGGTTAAAGTGTATGTCAGTGCAGATTTTGTTGTGGTAAGTTAAGAAGATGGTGATGATTGCTCAATTTCCTTGATTCATCACAATTTTTTTGCCAGTAGTTTGGCTTGATTTAATTTTGACTTTTCAAATTCTTTTTATAGAAAATAGATGAAATAGTTCTCGAGTTCTTGTGGCATGAGTTTAGGTATGTCTAAACTTAATCTGTTAGCAAATGATTATAAAACATATGAATAAAAATCAAACTCCATTAGAAAGCAAGGTGTATTCAGATGATAGTTATCATAGCGATAGTGAATTTTAGTATCCAGACAAAGTGAAATTTTTTGAAAACAATCCAACTTTCGATTCAACACCAAGCCACATTGGCCATTTTACAAGGCAAATTTCTTCATAATAAAAAAATTAAAAAGTAAAAATGTTCATTATTGTTTAAGTGGTTCGTCCATACTTTAAAGATATTTTCACACAGCCTCAAAAGTGTCCCGCAGTCTTTGGCCTCGACCCAATTTTGAGACCTCATGAAACTATTTTTATGTGCAGACCTCACAGTCAAGTAAATAACATATATATATTTTGATGAGAAGCTGTTTTCATGTATTCTTCCTAACCTATTTATGTTTTTATCTTTTATTAACATTTTCAACTCACTGTTTCTTCTTTTCACTTGCTGTTAGTTATTAAATTCTTCTCATTTACAGACTTCAACTTCAGTCCACTGCCAAAGGCATTACATTTGAATCTGTTAATCTAAAAATTGTCCCGAATGATGAGGTTAGTTTCTTTAAGGAATAGAAAATTTTCTACTTTAAAGTCAACTATTTTCATGAGATGAGGTGTGATCAAATGTTAGAGAGGAAATAGTATAAAGAGGAATTCAAACAAAATATTTGTACATTTAAATGACATGATTTTGACTGGTTTTACCAATTCCCAGATTGTGTTTTCCCAGTTTAAGATTTAATACTTCAATTCATGGCTTTGGGTCATGTGCGCAATAATCTTCATGTATTTGTTATTCTCTACATTACAATATCAGGATTGGATTTAAAGTGGAAGATTGTGTAAGGCTCCCAGCCTTGGATGGATGGATTGTGGGAGGGAGGCCAATTTTCCCAAAAAATATTAATTCAGTTTACCAAACAATCGAGCAAAATCACTGGCATTTAACGTAGCACACTTTCAAAAATCTCCTATGATAATAAGTTAATAGAATTTAACAAGAGAAAGTCTGAGATGGTAAACCAACAAGTAGCCCCCAAAAATCTAATCCAAACTAAAGTACCCTCGTCGACAAAAGCCATTCTAAACCATCACTGTATAATATGATTTATTGACGATCTTTGCGGGAAATGTCCTCAACTATAAATCAAGAAAAATCAAGGAAAATGTTTACATAAATCAATTGTAAAAAGTAAAAGAAAAGCAAACAGATTTCTGGGCTGCCATATGGAAGGGTCTACATATAAATGTGTATGGAGCGGTGCCCGGTTAACAAGAAATTTTGGATGGTTACTGTCCTTTGACCAGCCATCATTTTTATTCCAGAATGTCTTAGTTAATGAGCTCAGCTATAATAGGTTTTGTTTGTAATCTAAAATTGATTAACTATCTTTAACTTGCAGGGAAAGAGTGTGAAGGATGATGCCATCATTAAAGCTTGTGTTTCTTTGGGCATAAATCTTTATTATTTTGATCCTCCAACAGAACTGGTAATTGTCCACAAAATCATGAACATATTTATAGTTTAAATGTAGGCTTCGGAGAGTTTCTCGTGGCTTTCATAATGATTTATTGCAGATTTGTAAATTGCACCTACGTAGCCCTTGATGTGCAATGTAGTGTGTCCGAAATAGCAGGTTTTGCCTGGACTGCAGTTTAGTGGATATCCGAAGTGTTTATATGTGAGCGCGGGCTCATTTTTGGTTAGGATTATTGCGTTTGGGTCAGCGTCTAAGGTGTCTTCTAAACTGCAGTAATCCCCAGGTTTTGTCACGACTATTTGATTGAGAAGATTTAACTAGTTTGGGGTTACTAAAAAATGTAGTCATTATCATCGCAACCGACTTTCTGACAAACAAAGATCAAGGTCTTGGTTGTTTTCCATGACAAACAGATAATTTCTATGAAAGTTTTCTCGATGGAAAGAATGGATCAGTATTAGAAATTATATTTTGTTTTAGTTGAACGTAGGTCGGGAAAAGGACTTCGACAATAAATTCACGGACAAAACATCATTGTGGTTTTTTTTGAAAAACCTCAGTATCACAGTTCATGGTAACGTAGACGATGATGACGCCTTGTTTGAGTTCTCTGTAAGTCAAAGTCATTTTGCTATATTGTTAATTTTAATTTCCACGTTTGAGTTAAGACCTTTGTGTTTGGTGTTTAACCCTGTTTTTGAACTCGCCATTTTCTTCATTTCCCACCTCAATCCTAGCCACCAATTATTATTCTTGTTACGCGTGTCCAAGTGATAAAATTAGATTCAAGTTTTGAGAAATCAAAATGAAAAATGAGATGGAGGTTATGTAGATAAACATTACTCTTTGTAAAACCGAGGGGGAAAACTTAGCTATAATAGCGACCTAACATGAATTTTAAAGTTTTAATGCATGTATATGGGCTGCACAATATACGTAGAAGTAATATAACTTTAAGATTTTTTTATTCTTTAAGACACTAAGAGGCGATGCTCTTATACAATATAATTCAAATGTGGCAAAAGTTGTGCTTTTCTTTCATGATGCTTCAGCTAATTTCTCGTCCACTATTAATGGAAATGCTGATTTTATCAATGCGCAGAAAGTGAGTTTTCTCATTTCATTAATTGACATTCAGTTATTGACTATAACTAACATGAAAGTAGCTACTTGTTTAATGTACTGAACTACTAAGGTTCTAACTTGTCATTAATCATTCCTTTAAGGTTGGGCGAAGTGAAGGCTTGATTTTAGTATACAAGTTTGAGCATGGAAAATTAAAAAGTTCTCATTGTCGTCTTAAACATACAGAAATTAGCATAACCCCAGTAGCGTTAGGGTGTTTTAAGAATTTAATGACAAGATATATAGATGAATATTTGAGAAATTCTGTTGCAAGAAAGAAAAACCAAGAAAAAGACTATGAAGGTATGAAATCTTTGTTAAATCTAGCTAAAGTACATGCCCAAAAAGCCATAGCTATATTTTTTTATAGATTTAACCGTCAACGCCCTCTATTTTGTCCAGTTACAATTTTGTTCAATTACATTGTATACACGCTTGATAAATTATATAAATTAAAAGTAAATTGTGACCGGTATAGCCAGTTTAAAACGTGAAAGGAAAACAAATAGAATGTTAGGTACGAAATTCATGGCATAAATGTGGTCCTCAAACCTGGGACATCACTAAGTCAAGGACAGTGGCAGAAATATCACAATTGGTTTAATTGTACATGTTATAGTTTAATAAACGCCTTGTATATTGTTACTCTCAATTTATATAATTTCATTCTTGCGTGCTAATAGAAACTTGAAGAAAATGTTTGCATTACCCAATTTAAACAATCAAAACGGACTTAGTTTCTTACTATTTCAGCCAAGACTGAAGTATTTAATAAAAAGATTTTGCCTTTTCGTAAGAAGTGCGTGCCATACAGCTGCAATAAATATGCCTAAACAAATCTTAAAAACATCTTAATGAGAGCGTTAGCACATGGATACTATCGTATACGCTCTAGTTTGGATGCTTGTTCGCTTTAATGTTATAACATTTATGATTTTATGCTGTTAACTCCTTTTTCTTTTTTAGTTAACGAAGAGGACGTTGAATTGAAAGAGAAATTTGAGGTTTGATGCGCTTGAAACCAATAAATTATGAACATGAATTGGTATTATGGTGGTTTTTTGTAGTATAAATATGTCTAGCAGATTCTTTACTTCTCTCTTTAGGTTACCAATGAAGCCGAAAGTTTTTCTGTAAAGATATTTTCACCTGATTGTTCAAAACACTTTGAACTAACGCTGGCCTTTATTGGTGTTGGTTCGCCATACGATAAAACAGTAAGTATATGAGAGAATTATTTAAAATTCATATTTAAATATAAAATTTATTGAATAGAAGTATCCAGCGTAAAGCGTTCGATTATGCAAATCAATTTATACATTTAACCAACCTATAGTGAATGATTTACAAAAAACTCAATACATACAATCGGCTACTGAAGTCCTTGTTTATTTACTGTACCAAACATATAAAATTTTGTTTTCATTTATGGAAAGACGAAGAACTTGATTGTATGAACGAAAATCTGATGTATGGTTTGGTATCGACCAATTTCAACTTGCATCTAAGGGGACAAACATATCCTGACATAATGTAAACTATGTCATTTGGACCCAGTTTATACAACTTGTGTTTGATTAGACAAACAATTCTCTCATTTGATTCCTGCAAGCTCAGATTTATAGCTCTGTGTTACATTTTCAGCTCTTCAAACTGAATTGAATTAATCATCTTTTAATTAAAATAATAGTAATTTAATGTTAATAACTTCAAGATTTCTACTTTGGATTTTATCATTTAGATTCAATGGAGTATCAGTGTTCCCTTTGAATTGACGTTTGTTGATGTGTTAATTGGGAGAGAGAAGGAATATGCTATTGGGTCAAAAATAAAGTCAGATGGATTGATCAATCCTTGTGTCTTAAAAATAGAGGTAAATGTCATACTCATACTAGCTCTACATATATAATGGTTTCTAACAGAATAATTAAACCCTGGGAAAAAGAGATGAAAACCATGTTCAGCTCATCGACAATTTCCAGAATGATGGTTAGAATCTGCAAAAACACCTTAATTATTTTACCGTGAAATGAAGTTCATGTTAACATGTAATTATGTGATGCAAAAAAGAAATATCATACTCCAGTTTTGTAAGAAATGTGAACTACTTGATGTGAAATTTCCTTTATAAAAGAACTTCTTAAACCACGATAGTCTTTTGTTTATGCAAACATAGTTTTATTGGCCGCTTTTGGATATTTTATGTTGTTGCGAATATTCTCTGGATTTGCAAAACATAAGCTATTACATTTTATGTATGGTTTATTTACAATCGTTCTTGCACAGGGTGAAGAAATATCAAGGAAGACTAGTAATTGGAATGGTCGTTTTAACGAGGGAATTCTTGTTGAAATCAAACCCAAATATGTACATACTATTGAAAATTTTATTGAGGTAACATGTGCATAATTTCTTTTTTTGTTTAATTTTATTTGTTCAATGTTATGACAGTGGATTTAGATTTTCCAGGCGGGAAACATATTCTTATTATGAACATTAAAGCCCAGCTTATTATGATTATATTGAATATCCGTTTTGGGTTAGAAACATAAATAAATGACAGTATTTATAATGTATGAATAAATTAAGTAGAAAAAGGGGAGAGATTAACGAATCACAGAATGTGTAGAACAGTGACGGAGGAATGGAAGATTCTATTTGGGATCAGTTTTAAAATTTGAAATAATCAAGCCAGGTATCTTCTTCTCCATCTACTTCCAAACTCGAACTATTAGTTCGCCAAAGTTTACTCACACATTGCAAATGCCTTCATACATTCTCATATTTGTAATCTGATTTTATTATTCTGAATATTTCGTGCGTTGCAACGAAACTTTTATAAAATTCTTTCTTTATCTTTCTTTTCTATAGTGGCCATTCATTTAATTACAATAAGCTGGGCTTTAATCTTCATTATAAGATTGCTTGATTTTATTTAAAGTAAATGTTAATACCAGAGCCTTTTTTACTGTAGGCTTATGAATTATATTGCAATAGAAGAAATTCCTGGGAGTTGTCAGATGATGATTCGAACAGTTTCCTTGATTCCTCGTCAACTGAAACTTCGTTTGACCAAGATGAAATTGACACAGATCGTCCTCAAACTGCCAAGAAAAATGCATATGATGTATGAAATCTTTGTAATAAATTGTTAAGAGTATTTCTTAGGGTAAAAAATACGTAGTGTTATACAAGGAGGTTATCATGTTAATTATGTATTTACTATTGGACGAAATACTTTCACCGCTATGACGTTGACGACTCTGAATTTACGGGAATGTGATCGTATTTTCTAGTTATATATAAATAACGTAATGTAGAAATTGGTTGATTACTGCTACGGATCTAGGGTACGTCAAAACAAATTTACATTTACCATTACCTTAATGGCAACTGGATTGGTGAAATTTTATTCTTTAGAAATTCGTGACCAATAGTTAAGTTCTTAATGTATTTTGAATATAAAATTAAGCACTTATAATTTATTTTCACAAATGCTGGATCTGCTAGCTCAATTTTGATGAAGCATTTACACAACTGCACAACATGCTATGGTCAAACTCAGAGACGGATTTAGACTACCTCTAAATAAATGACTGAAGCACATTTCAGCGTGTATTTACATTTCTAAGTACTTTAGAGGCAAATTCGTTGGCAAAATTATATTATTTAGAAATTAAAAACCAATAGCTTTTTTGAGTGTAATTTGAATTTAAAATTGAGTAGCTATTATTTATTTTCAGGTACCTTCGACCCCCCACTGTTTTTACTGTGCACATTTTTGAAATATATTTTATCCTTTCATTATTATTTGCAGATCACCGCAAGTATTTGTGAGATAACAATTGAATTAAAAAATGCCTTTGATCGAGATCTACTACAAGTTGTTATTATTTATCCTGAGGTAAATATGTTTTCTCGATTCTTATTCTTTATTTAAACATTTGCTGACTCTACCTTTTTCTAACATGGATGCCTTCTATTTTAAAACTCTCCGCAGCAAGTTTGCCTTTTGGGGGCATGTTTTTGAAATGTGCGAGGCCGGGAGTTTTCAACTTTGTCTCTAGTTTTGATATGTCTGTTCTTGTGTTTTTATGTTTTAGTTCTCAATCTCACAAAATGAGAAAACTAGGAGCATTGATTTTAAGATCGAAGACTTGAAGGTACGTTGTGGTCTGTAACTTATTATATTGTGTATTTACTTCGTATAGTTCACTTCGCGTATACATCACGTGATTTTGTTTTAAGAAAATTCAATATAGAATTTTGATTTTAATGCCTTAACAATTTTCATGAAACTAGTTACAAGTGTTGTATGAACACCTGGACAACAAAACGCATTTACGCAAGCGTTTTATTACTTATCTCTAACTACGTAAGCCTTAACACTGATATATTCAATACAAAAATAATCTATTATTCCTGGTTCTTGGTCGTTGTTCGTTTAGTTTTAGAGTTTGTCCTCTTATCTTTGAAACATTGCACTATCCTTGGATCTGTAGTTTAGTTTTCGTTGGAGTGCAAAATTACTTTTGTTAAAGAATTTGTATCGACAACTTAGCAAGGATTGTTTACTAAGAAAATCTGTGGTATATATGTGCACACCAAAAAAAGGGCCTTGACAATTAAACTATCTATATACTGTTCATTCCTGTGTTCATTTAGATTGCTCTAAATCCTTTCAAGTAAGATTTTTTGACTAACACTTTATCTAAACCTCTCTTCTTTAAGGGTTACAACTGCTTTGAAAACATTCCATTTTTTCATCCTACTCGAGAGACGGAGGAAAAACCATCTTTGGCAATTTCCATTTTGGAGAAAATTTCAACATCTGCTGATAAATTATCCTTCGAGGTAAGTATAATCGTCAATTGTCAACCTCAGTGCATTGCGGGCTCATGTTTGTAATGTTACCGTTCAATGTCGGCGGATCACTATTCAATGTGGTGAACTTCAATGATTTTGAAATGATTTTTTCAAAATAAATGGTTGCGATCCTGTAGGTAATAAATCCTTTTTCTCTAAATACGCGCAATAGATCTCTAATCTCATCTCGAACCAATATACGGAGGATCGACAAGGTTTGATAGTACATGGAATTATAACCTGAACCAAGTTAAAACGCGCCAAACACTTTGCTTCACAATAACTTAGTTATTGAGTACGATGGGATTTTGTTGAGTAAATTAGAGAAATTCATCGAAATGCAGTTATCCATCATACTTCAAAAATTAGTTCCATCATTATTCACCATGTATTTTTTTGCAGAAATTTTCTTTTGGAAGCTGTGATACTACGGTCTTGGTTGGAGAGACTCTTCTTTTAGCTGTTTTAAAGGACTTTGGCCTTCATAAAAAAATACCAAAAGTATTTTTGGGAAGGTAGCTATAAAATCTTAAAATAATACATAAAATATTATTTTTATCACTGGTGTTTAGGAATTGTCTACTTATACTTTATGTATGCTCACGCTTTTATCTTAATTATTCTTGGTACTGTTGCAAATTCCACGAGCTTTTGCATATAACGAATATTTACCTTAGCTCCTTTGACGTCCTTGTTAAAATGCCTTTATCACCAGCTTTTACTTTTTCCAATAGAGCGTAAATCGTTAGTTAATGTTCTACAACTATTTTTTTTATTCGAGTAGTTTTTGAGGAATAAAGCTTCGACTATTGAGATTTCAATAAATTTCTAAACATTTCTGTGAGGACCGAACTCGTTACATAAAACATATGATTTTGTCATAGGATATCTTTGCTGTAATATACCTCGCATCATAAATAAATGCAAATGTATCTCTTTTTACCCGTATAACTTTTAAAAATGATCGTTCTAATAACGTAATTGTTCTTAAAAGAACTGTTTAAAACCAGAACACTAACTCAATAATTCTAAAAGAACTGTTTAAAACCAGAACACTAACTCAATAATTCTAAAAGAACTGTTTAAAACCAGAACACTAACTCAATAATTCTAAAAGAACTGTTTAAAACCAGAACACCAACTCAATAATTCTAAAAGAACTGTTTAAAACCAGAACACCAACTCAATAATTCTAAAAGAACTGTTTAAAACCAGAACACCAACTCAATAATTCTAAAAGAACTGTTTAAAACCAGAAAACTAACTCGATAATTCTAAAAGAACTGTTTAAAACCAGAACACTAACCAAACAATTCTAAAAGAACTGTTTTTAAAGCTAAAAGACACGATGCATTTTGACAGATTGCTCATCAGGTGTCAACGTGTGATAAATGTGATCTTTGAAATCATCAATCGTTCAATGATTATAGATTTGCCATAAATGTTATAAAGACACAATTTATGATCACTGGATTTCATTCCCAAACAGTTATCCCTGATGCATACAGAAAATTTTATGTTAGGAGGTTTCTCAAAAACTATTCAAGTAAATCATTTATGAGAGGAAACACAGTCACTGTTTAGTTAATGGTTATTGTAGACTATAATAGGCGAAGCCATATTAAACTCTGCCATTGGTCGGCTATCACAATGCAGAAGTTATTGAATTCTGCCATTGGCCGGCCATCACAATGCAGAAGTTATTAAACTCTGCTATTTGTCTGTTACCACGGAAGTTAGCGTCTTAAGTAGTGTCAACTAATTTAAATTTCTTCCATTAACAGCGGAGAAGATAGGAAGAAAAGTGTGTCGCGTGCTTCAACAAAAAGATTTCATTTTGATCATTTTGAGTTACGCGATGTTGAAGTAATTTTAACTTTACTACCAGCGACTGATCTTCCTGTCGATCTTAAAATTATCAAAAATAACCTGGGAATTCCTCATCAGCTACCTCCGAAAATTGAAAACGCATGCCTTCAATTTGGTAAGCTCACACATTGATTGCTTTTCATTTAACACTGCCTCAAAAATATAAACCTCTTGGTTAAACTCTGCATACATGACAATTTCTTTTTTAGTTCTCTATGTTTTGCAGTAACCGAACTTTCTTGAGTGTCGTGTGAAATTCGCACGTGATATGTGTTGATGCAATGTCCATCCGCGTGCTTCCAAATAGCAAACAAATGTTTTTAAACATTTTTTTGGTTTTTAGACGCATTCATTCGAAAAGATATACAATACGGATCCTATAAGTATATATCTTATGATATAAAGAATCACTACCTAAAGGTATGTTGAATCTTTGCTTTAATTTTGATAAAAATATTACAATTAATATACACGGTGACGCGGAAACGGCGGAATTGCAGCCATTGATTTGCCAGGGAGGGATGCGTATTATAATTTATAACGAATAACAGTTGACAGGAGTCATCCATAGAACAGGAGGAGGGTACGACATTACTGGAATAAAATATGTTTAGGAAAGTTTGATAGGTTTTAAACTTTAGTGAATATCGAGTGAGCGTTTCAAATTCGATTAGGAATATTTTCGTCAATCAGAAAGTCGTCTTAGTTGTAGAAGTTGATAGATAAGAAAGTCTTCAAATGAAACAGAGCATTCGTAGGTGTTGTTGTGGTAGGGGGGGGGGTTAAGAACTTTTTTGTGTGAGAGATTCCCTAATGTCCAGAGATTCAGCTGTGTAAATGACTTGTAGTTTGACGATGATTGTGTTATGATAAAACGTCACTCTTATTGATAGAAATCTGATACGAAATATCTTTCCTTAAAATCTTTTTAATAGTATACTCACATATTTGACTAAATACGGTTTATTTTTTGTCAAAGTTTAGAAAATATTATGGCATTCAGTTTTTTAGGTTTTGAGCGTGAAATTTGTAATTATTGCAATAGAATCAGTGTAGATACCAGATGGAGTCTTCATTCTGATTGCCTGTTCTTCGCTCATGTGTTGAAGAATTCTGTTGTTATTGCTCTGTATTTTATATCATCTCAAAGTAATTTACATGGGATTTGAACATTTAAATCAATTTTTTATAGCTTCAAATTTAAATGTAAGATTCAGGTCGATTCAGGTTGATTTAGGAACATTTGTGTGTTCACTTCTTATCCTTCATTGATATTTGTGCTTTGCTTCACAACAATTAAAATAACAAAATTTCTGATGCTATTGTTGTAAAATAATACATATATTTCTACTCGGAGAAAACTTTCTTCAATGATACGTAACCATGATTATCTCAAGGCCCGTTCACACGATCCGATTTGTCGGATCCGTGTTTTTGTTCCTGTTTCCAAGTCTTTTTCAAATATATGTAACTCGACTAGTCGGCTTCGTTTGATCATGTCGGATGAAAATAGAGCAAGTTCTATATCCATTCCGATTTTTAGATTGACAGATCCGACTATCGGAAGCTCACTTTATATATGTTCACAAGATCCGTTTTTTAGGATCTGAAAAAATCGTTTGAACGGGTCTTCACACTGCTATTTTTCCATAGGAATTTGGTAGTCAGTCTGCTCGTGTTCTTGGTTCTATGCATCTTCTTGGTAATATATCTCGTCTAAAGCAGGATATAATGTCTGGATTTAAAACTTTACGTGAGACTGGAGAATTTGTTACATTCTTTCGACAAGTTACGACAGGCGTTGCTAGTTCATACAGTAAGGTAAGTTAGCTTAGAATCATCAATTTACGGCAATATGGTAATAGAAATATGTTTTGTACTTTTCTTTATTTCAACGTGAAAATAAATATTGTCTGTCAACAGGAGGAGCTGTCTTCCTTAACATGTCGCTTTTATTATTGTTTTGTGGTTTATATAGCTGGCTGGTTCATGGTCGGGTTTGTTTGGTTTCAATTCATCTACTCAAAATGCGAAAGAAAGTCACATCGGTAATGAAAGACGACATTCTGATCCCAGCGATCTTGATGTTGCTATGATACGTCAGCTCTCCGAAAATGACGTGTTTGTTTCACCGACGTCTAAGGATGATAGTGAGGTGTGTTGTTATTGTCTTTATCGATTTTGTTTTTAAGAAGTTCTACAGTGAATGTTGATATGATTGGTGTAGAAAATTATATGATGACCTTAACAATACAAATATAGCATGCTCCACCAATTGAGCTTCTTGACTTGACGTAATATTCAACTTCAGAGATTACATAATGACTTGATGACATCAGCAATGCCAGTGCAACGCTGTATCAACCATGTTATCAGCTGAAGTTCTTGAATGTGATGTCACCATTCACTATTCAGCACTTCAACGACGATCTTAAAATTGAATGATTTTTAGGTTCTTAACGTTGATGACGATTATCTGTGGATGAATAGCAGTATTTTACCTGGAATTAATAATGAACCTGATGGGATGAATTGGGATACAGAAAGTAGTGACGGTGAAGCAACGTTAGGGATTCCACTGGAACTCATTCCAAAAAATGTTAAGCGTCAAATAAAAGGACAGGAATTTCTCAGACGGCTGAAGGAGAATATTGGTGATAACGAGCATGGAGAAGTGTAAGCACATAATCACGCCTATTTTATTGCGAGACTAGTGCTTATTTTTATTTTTTTTTTGAGCTCATTTGATGCGATAAAACACGATAAAATAACCATAGTAATACGATGTCTCCCCCGGTTTAACATTCATAACTTTAGTTCATCGGAAACAGTTATTCTTTGTTAAGTTGTTTTAGTTATTTTCATTCACCAAAAAAATTAAAATACTGAAACCTCGTACATAGCTGTGTGTTAAAGACTCTTATCAAGAATGGAAAGAATACGAATGTAGAATTTTAACATTGTTTTTGGTGACAAAACAATTTTACCTTTCCCAACGAACAAATGCTTGTGTTGCTAAACGTGTTTCCACTTCCGATGAAAATCTTATCTTATTATCATGCATTCGTAAAATGTATCGTAAAATAAGTGAATTCCACTTAAGCGTGCTTCCACTTGCAATGTTTTATTATCGTGATCTATCCATATTATCAATGCTAACCGCGTCGTTAAATTTGTTTATACTAGCCCGCCCTACTCATAACTACTCAAAATAACTTGTCATTGGTATATTAACCTAAATGATTGCATTTTTAGGTTTTCATGTTGTTTGAAAGTTCGTAAGACGGATGCTGAGAATAAACTAAATGCGTTGTTGTCAAATCGTAAAGTTTACTTTTTGAAAGGACGACCGTGTCACGAATCTTTAGTACTTTGCGTCAAGTATGAAACTTTGTACAAGGCACAGTATATTTTTAAAGGTAAATACGACATGTTTAATTTCAGTGTAGATATAATGTTGTCTCTTTTTCTACCCTGAAGTATTTCGTATTCTGATTGTGTATCGGATTTTTCGTCTCTGACACATCATTTGCTTTGAGGAAAACTAGCCTTTTGTTTTTGAACTATTGAATGATTTGTTATGGTTGTCGTTTTGTGCAACTGATAGGTAAACCAACTCTTTCAAATTTGATGATGATGCCATTCCAGGATTTTTATTACCCTTTAGGTGGCGAATTACTTCGATAGCGTTTGCCGTTTCGTTTGTTGATTGTTTCAGATCTGCACTGCCACAGAAATGGTTTATTTAACAACTTTCGCTCACAGCCGCATATATAATGCATTAAACTCTCACCAGAGAACTTCCCTTTGTTACTTTGTCGCCCTCATTGTGCGTTGCGGTGCAAGAGTTTCAAAAAGATTTTTGTGCACGTACATACGGCCACGCGTTGTATTAAAGTGGCTCGTTACGTGGCAAATTTTTTCAAGAGTTGGTTGGTTTTTATCGTCGTTTTGTTACTTTGAAAATAATCTTACGTATAGAAAAACTACAGATATGGTTTATAACGAGGTCTTGTGTTTGAGAAAATCAGATTACATTTGTTTGAAAGAACATTAGTACATGGATAAACACGTGAATTGTGTGGCAACGAATGTAAACTTGTGTTATAGCCTATTCTATCCATTACAGTGTTTTTCATTCGGTTGAATTAAATCGATGAATTTTGTATTTAGATAAAACACATTATGTTCAACTTGTCAGCAAAATGAAAGGAATAAAAACGTTGTCAATACCATCACGTAATCCCGGAGAAAGTCCACTTGTCCGTTGTGATGACGTCTTGGCAGCTAGAAAGGTAGAATTTCTTCTTTATAGTGTAGCTACAGCCTGTATGTAGGCTAACCATTATGTTATACTTGGAATCCTTTGGCGCGTATAATCATGGCGTTTTGTTTCGCTGACAATAGTTAAGAATAAAAAGCTCGAGATGTTGTATGTGTACATTAAATGCTGATTTCTCTGCTGTAGAAAAAGTGCATAGTGGCAACATCTGCGAATTATTTTCTTGAATTTAATTTACACTGTTTTTGTGTTTTTTCAGATATCGAGCAAGATAAATGAACTAAAACGTGACTATGATCATGAATATATGCACATCCAACATCAATAAATTTAGCCGTGGTAAATGTAAAATTATTTTTGTATATTTGCAACATCGATTCTATTGTAACAAAATGTTTATTTAAATAGTCATTAAAGTCAATAGTCAATAAGTCATTACATTATACAACTTGCTCTTATCTTCCTTCATATTGTTACATTACTCGCAAAGTTAAAACGTGTGAGAGTTGAGAGTTGCCACCCTTGTCAAAATATAAAACTGTTCACACCACAGATTTCTGGGCCGTGTATGGTTCTTGTGAAATGTCACGGAGCAATTAACTTTGTTCCACAAAAAAACTTTCATTTTCGGCTTTTGGGGGTTAATTATATTTCATGCTGAGGTAGGGTTAGATATTAAAATAGTATTTTTTTGTGTTTTTTTTTTCAATTTTGTGTCTTTTGAATGAATTAATAAATGTGTTTCTACGAAATCATTCAATGAAATTTCAAGAAAATTTCAAGGAAAATAAGCTCCCCAAGTAAGGAATTTAGAGAAGTTTTATCACCAAAAATGACCAAAAGAAGTTTAATTATGAAAAATGAAAGCACTAAATACTCGGTGGTTTCCAGTGGTTTCCAGTGTTTCCAGTGAGTGCTTCGCGAAAACAAGTCTACAAGCCTTCAACCAGCAGAACAAATAATAATTTCTGTATCATAGCATCAGCTGTAAAGAAAGAACGCATCAGTTGCGACGCTTAAACGTTACTTTAAATAGAAATTAATACAGAATGTCCGAATTCGCAGTTTTAGATTGTTCGTAAGTTCGAAAGTTTATGCTGTGCAATTTTTCTTTTCTTAATCTATGGTATAATATTAATCTTCCAATCTTACCCCACCCCCCACCCCCCCTTAGGCCAGGGGTCCCGTGGGCTTGCCTAAACTAAGCACATAGCAGTTACGCCACTGTCTGTTGAACTAAACAGATAAATGGTAGAAATTTGTTTTACAAGTTTCAACTTATTTGTTTTACAAAACTATGAAGGAGAATGGCGTGCATTGACAGGAAAATGACCCGCAGTAACATGACCACTGTCTATTGCACATGGAACAAACCCTTAAGCCTGATTCACACGAGTAAAATAAGCACGAACGTCTAGACTTTTGTTTCTATTGCTCTAGAGGTTTATAAAGACAAAGACATTGGGATTTTCTTTAAATCTTCTTTTTGTTCTTCTTTTGTTCTTCTCCTAGCTTATGCTTGAATTTTTTCCTTATGCTTGCGCTTATGTCGATGCTTATGTCTCATAATTCGTTACTTATCTTTGTTTTATCTTTTGTCTATGCTTGTGCTTATCCTTATTTCACTCGTGTGAACCAGGCTTTAAAGTTTATGGTGGATATTGTGTTAACAGGAATAGGTTTCGGATCAAACAGTTATGAACCAAAGAGGTAAAAAGTACATTGCATTTTTTGATTTGTAAACCTGTATTAATATAAAATGTTAGCAACATGATCAACGGTTATATCATTTTAAAATGCAGAAAGATAAAGATTGAAACTAGCATTTGTATATCAGCGCTGTGCAAAAAATACAGTGGGTGCGAGCAATAACTGAGTATCGGGAAAATTTTCATCTTTTTTTCTTCTTGATTTCTACTGTCAAAATGGTGCTCGATCAGAGAAATCCTGAAACCACAATCCAAGTTCTATATGGGACTAGAATGTTTACTGTGTTTGCACGATCTTATGCAAACCTTGGAGACCTTTGGGAGAACTCGAGAGCAGATCAGTGCAAGCCAGAGACCGAAGGTCGAGGGTTGCATATGCTCGAGAGTTCTCACAAACGTCTCCAAGGTTTGCATAAGCCAGTGCGAACACGAAAACATCATTTATTTCTTTTATAAAATAACAACAATGCAAAAAAGACAGACATTTTAATTTTTCCTCTAAAATGTATTCATGATCGATTTGCAAATTCTCTTTGAATATTGATTGTTTAGATTGATTTGATTGGTTGAGCTCAGATGTGCTTTGCAATGGCTAATGCAAACTCAGCTCTAGACCAATCAGCGCACGCTTTTATTGTATTTATTTTATAATATTAATTAATAAATGAACAGGAAGTCTCAGTGATTAATGCAAACTGTCATCAAGTAGGGTCCTGTATCTAAGATAGACACAATAGTTACAAAAAATATTAACTATACAGAAATTAAATATGCGTGATAAAATCTTCCTAAGATTCAGCTTTTGTATAACTTAGCAATCAGTTTAATGCGGATCCCAATCCCCACGTCATCGTGTGGCGTGTGGTCGATCATTGCAGGGTGAGTAATATTCATATTAGACATGTTCTACTCTTATAAGTTTTTATTGAAATCAAATGGGATTACAGATTAAAACATTTGAATAATACGAGTATAAGCTCCCTCTTATCTAATCATCGATCTTCTGCCGTCCATGTCTCGGTAAAGACAAAAAAATACAGGAACATACATACAGGACATGTTAATTAGGTGTTATAGCAAAAGACTTTCTTTGTGAGCTGATTCATGAAGAAAGAGCACTTTTGTAAAGTGTTCCATTTTTTTCTCTAAACTTTCCATAGCAACAATTTCCGTAAGACAGGACAATGAAATAAATTAATACACTCCTTTGTTGTCATTTCTTGACTTACTCCCGTGAGGTATTCAATATACGCTCCAAAACATATACATACATAAAATTTTTGAATTCTTTTTGTCAATTAATTGCTTGACAGTGAGATTAATGATTTACATAAGACGTACTTAATGAAACGCGTTCGATGGTGCTCAAAGCATCCTGTTCCGATATTTCTCACACGTGAATGGCACACATGATCTTGTCTATATATATTGCACAAATATGGTAATGATCATTCTCTTATTTGTTAACGTTCGCTAAAGATCACGGTTAAATTATGAAAGCATTGATTCTCAGCACTGTTTGCTTTCTTTTTGTAAGTTTATTTATTACCGATCTATACAAACCGTCGCCATTTTTCTTTAATCCTTTTATAAGTAATTGTATAATAATTAGATAGTTCAGTTTAATTCCTCATTAGTTGTTAGTTTTGGCATTTTATGGTGTACGTTCTTTTAGCTAATGATCACAGAATTCAATTTGTATTTCTATTTAAAAGGCATTTGGTAAAAGTTCGTCCGCGTTGATACCAGGTATGTCCTAAATATGTTGATGTGCTTTGTCACATTCAATTTGTGCATTTTTATCAAGCCAAAAACTACACATTATATTTCTACAAATATTTGCGTCATAAAATCACTTATTTAGGGTTAGTTTCGTCTGAATGGACTGCACATAATAATTGACTGCATCGAATTGAAATAAGTACCTAGGTGTCGCAATGCCAACTTGTACCATACGAGTACGAGTTGTATAGAGTTTTAAAGTTAGCTAATGTTGGTTTTAAATTTTCTAAGATGTTATTTATAATCGTTGGAAGCACGGGCGTTGTCACTATTCTATGACTTCTGAGTTAAAAGTTGCTTGCTGATGTTGTTATTATAGTAGGTCCGTTTTAAACGGCGTACTTCTCACGAGCCGAAGTCATTAGAGTAATTTGCACATAAGAAGCGTGACGTTTGAATCAAATACACTTAGCTAATGCGCATTTGATTGGTTAATCGTCAGGAGCCAGTTGCACGAAGGCCGAATAGTGCTATTCACTGGATAGCAATTTTTTCTCAACGCTTAAAAAATCTCTTATAAGGAAAAAATATGCGATTATAACTGTGCAATCATTGAAATGCAATATTATTTCGAAGATAACAAAATTTCTTTGTCATAAGAAAAATAAAAACACTTTTTTTACAAGTTTGAAAATTGTTGCTATCCAATGGATAACGCTATTCAGGCAACCGGCCCCAGGACAGAAAGCATCGGTTAATTATAAGCGAGCTTATATTTTAGATGTTCGGCCCACTTCTTGTGCAGCCGTGTCATGTCTAGTTGGTTTTAAATGCGTTGAAGAAGATAAAGGGGCTTTGTGTAAGAAAATATGTAACACAAGCAAGGATCCATCTGTAGTTCTGGAGTTTGTGTTTGTCCACGAATTTGTCCACTCTACTTCATGCCAGTTTGTGGCGACGATGGCCGAGAGTATGGGAATATTTGTCTATTGAATATAGCGGCTTGTGAAAGTAAGAAAACAATCAAAACTGGTACATGCAAAAAAGGTCTGAAAAATTCAACTTCTTATAATTTGATTTAATTATTTTAGAATTATCAATCAGGATACTCTTTTAAAGGTTAAAACAAGCATATTTCTTAAAATAAACGAGGTCTAATTTTCTGCTATGTCTCATTAAAACAGATCCATGTGCGTCAGTGACGTGCAAGAAAGGTTTTCAATGTATCGCTAGAGAAGAACAGACATATTGTCGACCAGGTTTTCAATTTATACGTACTTGTGCATGCTTATTTGAAGTTGGCGCTCCAATAAGACTCCCAGTACATACAAAGAGAGTTGAACGAAAAATACAGTTCATTTGCAATTAATTAAGTTGAATTTGACAAATTTGTTTTCCTATGTTATCACCTCAGTAGCTTTACGTCTTATTTTAGTACTTTGCTCGCTTCCTCCTTCTACCGGAAAATGCAAAGGATATTTCAAAAGATATTTCTAAAATTCAGTTTCTAATAAATGCGAGAAGTTCATTTATGGTGGCTGTGGTGGAAACAGAAATAACTTTCGCTCTAGATATGTGTGTAAAATTTGGTGTGAAGGTGAAAACCTCTTTCTTAATTTTTAAATCATCATGACTTTTAGATTGATACAATGATTGATCTTTTAGACAAAAAGTAAAACATATGAATTAATGTTTTCTTCTGTTTTGTAGCTAATTGATAAAACATCGCTTGTTTTTACGTAACAGAATCATGCCCAGTGGATAAGCCTTTTCATTATTGCTTTCGTCGACCGTGTGAAGATATGAACTATAGACTGAAGTCCTTTAAATAGTTGTGTAGAATAGCACTATTCAATACATAAATTTCACGAATCAATAGCTCTTGATTTTTTATGAGGCTTTGACACTAAAATTGATCTTTTTTTGCTCAATAGAACCGTGCGAATATTTCAAAATTTTCAATTTGCTGCACATCTTTTAACTTTAATGCAATTGAAGGACATCTTATTTTTCTTAAAATCTCTTTACAGGAAGAATGAGACTGCTCTAAAGTTCTAAAAGTTAAATTTTTAACAAAATATTTTATCTTTTGCTGCCTGAAATAGCGATATGTTTGATACAAAGTATGTACGAATGAAAGTCATTGACACTCAGGCACAGTATGAAAAACGAAAAGTAGGACTTTCCGCTTGGTGATGTATATCAAATCAAACTACTGGCAACGGTTAGCTAACACATTTTTCCTTCTTGTCAGATAATACTTTTAACTGGCCACCACATGGTAATAACGTGATAATAGCTTTTAATAATACCAATAAGATACAGCGTTATAAGAGGGAGTACAGCGTGTAGTGCTTCTTCAGAAAGGCTAAAACAGCTTCTTTGAAAAGTTAACATAAAATCAGCTGCCTTTTGCTGTGTCCTAACCAAATGTTAATGTTGCATTTTTCAAACTTTGCTTTACTGTGATCAATGAATATAAGAATGTTGGAAGTGATGTTAACATTATTTTTCATTTAACACTAAAGAAAGCAAAATGAAAAGAAAATCTTTTTTCTTTTATTTCTTCCAGTCTCTGGAGAATATTCTTTGCTTTGTTTTCTTGCTTGTGCTTATGTTGCTGGCGAGAACAAGGCTTTACTACTGTACACATATCTATAGAATATCATACGTGATGGTGAAATATGAGTCTCAATTTAGGAAAACAGGCATAGAAGTTTAAAAGTGACCATGTGACCAGCGTCAAAGTCATCGGAAATGGAGCATCTTCTCTTTTTTATTCCTCTGAGCTCAGTTGGCAAGAATTCTTAAGACCTGAACTTATTCTGAAACGTATTTTTGTTGAACATTTTTCTGCGCACTGTGCACAATAGTAATCGCAAATTCGCAACGAGAAACAAAATAAAATTCATATGAAAAAGTAGCTCTCGCAACAATGTTTCCGCGCACCGCAGAGCCAGAAACGATAAAATCTTAAATCTTCATGCGAGAAAGGTGTTTTAGATGCTGAAGTATAAAAATTTCAAAATTTTGCCGGAGTAGTTTTCAGAGCCCCCGAGAGTGGAAAAGGGAAGGCCTCTAATTGTTAAAATATGGTAATGTACATAATTTTTCTTGAAAAATCAGAATGTTGTTCACTAAAAGATATATTGAAATTCATTTGTGGAAACACCGATTTCCAAATTAAAAGTCACGTGACTCATGCTTGACTCAAGCGCGCCAAAAACAAACAGGGAAAGCAAAGGTCCAAAACCTTGTTTCACTTTCAAATATTTTAAATTGTGTTTTGTCATCACTTTCTGTGCACTAATTTGTGTGCCTGGCATCGAAGCTGTGCATTGAACATTTGAAGGTCCAAACCCTTTCATTCCAAATTGGAAATTCCCGGTACCGTACATTTATTTATTTTGTTCGTAATAAGTTTAAAATTGTGTAATCAGTGTAATGTTTATGATTTATCAAAATTTGACTGTCAACGTTATGACATAAAATCATGCTGCCTGTATCGGATCAAATATTTTAGCAATTGAGCCTTGCTTATGGTTTTCACAAGTGTAAGTTAGCTAAAAACAAAATGCGTACTCTAAATATATATATGATACTACCATATTCAATTTGTTCGCTTTTATCATCAACTTTTGGCAAACTTACAGTATGAAATGATTGTAAGGCTTGCTTGAGCAAATTGCATTTGGAATATTTAAAATTGACATGGGTAAGTTGCATTGCTCATATTTGCTGGAATACCAAAGCAACACAGCCAATTTAAATTAGGCATATGCAAGCATTTACGAAGGTGGCTGCCAAATTCCAAAATTACAGTCAGACGATTATGCTCTTCCTTATTGATCATTGCAATATGCTGTTAACTTTCTACATCTTGGTTAGGATTACAATATGCAATTTTTGTCTTAAAAATGTTTATTTATTGTGTGAGGAATGCTATTTTGTAATGGCTACTTTGTAACTATGAACGTTTTGATAACTTTTGGTGAATGCTTAAACAAAAATAAATGAAACTCACTATTTACTTAAGATCACAATGGCAGCTGATAAAGTACGGTTTGATTTAAGTAAAAGATCAAGCACTGAATTTGATTCTGTGGTGGTAGACAAGCATATACCAATTTTCGAAGCTGTAAAGGAAAAATTAGGAAGAGGTGCCAACAAAACAAACACAATCTTCTTGGCAGAATTAAAAGATAGCCACGACAAAAAGAAATGTTGGATTCCATTTTTTCTACCCTGTGGTTTTATCCAGACTGACAGTAATGTTGAGTGGGAAGACATCAGTAAAAGTGCTCAGAGTCGATCTCAAGGTATCCCAAAAACAATGGAATGTACACTATTTTTAGTCTCAGCCCATGAGAAAGGTCAGACCAGGTTTACTGTGATGAATGATTATAAGAATGTTGGACGCGACATTAACATGTGTGTTGTTGCAAACCCTGATCAGACATTTGTTCAGGTATTTACTGAAGATGGTCGTTTTAAGGGTGTTGATTATTTTGAACTATCTGAGACAACTGGAAACTGTTCCAATGTAGATATGAATCAGAAGCCCGCAGACCGCTTCAAATCAAAATATGAGTTGCTTAAGATAAGAGTTACAAGCAAGCCCAGAAAGAAACGTGGCTCGTCAGATAACAATACAAGTCAGCAACCTCAGTCATCAAGTTTTTAATTTGAAGATTCTGTAACACCCAAATCATCGATGAATTCCAACAGTACAAAAAGTTACTCATCAAAGGATGTGACATGTGTGGAAAAGATGCTTAAGGATGTGGGATGTTTGGAAAAGATGCTTAAAGATGGGAAATGCTATGAATTTTCAAAAGATCTAAAAAATTAACCCCAGAAGAAAGGTATACACAAATGTCAAAATGTCAAAGAGCTCTGGTAAGGTATAAACTTCTTGATCTTTTTCGCCAGAAGAAGATTCCAAAAGCAAAATTAAAGGCTGTTCAAGATAAGTTTGCCAATAAAAGTGTTATTGCTCGACCAGTAGATTTCTCTAAGAATATTTGTAAATTATATGATTCTGTGGGTTATTTGAAATATGGTAACTCTGTCGAAATTCCTGTCCAAGCAACTTGCTTTCTTGTTAGCCGAAGAATTGTTGCCACAAATTATCATGTGGTTAAAGATATACAGATTGCTCAAAATGATCCAAATTCCAAGATTTCCGTCATCTTTAATTATGAAAAAGACGGTCGTCGTCCTTGATGATGATAATTCTTATGAGTTAGAAACACCATTTCCATTATTTAACGTACACATGGACGAAAGGTTCGATTTTGCTTTTCTTCAACTCAAACGACCTGTGGAAGGTGAAGTTAAACCTCTTGGTGAGTATGTTAGATGTAACGTGCCGTCCAACGGTATAGTCTCCATTGTTGGTCATCCTCATGGTCAAAGAAAGCAAGAGGAATTGTGTTCTATTATATCTCGTGACGACCTTCAAAATCGTGGCAGGAGTGTGGCTTACATTATTCCAATGGTGTGGTAAACGTGAATGATCTCCTAAAGCATGCCGAGAATGATGAAACTTTGTCGTATGATGTTGGTAACATGTTTCATGGATCCAGTGGCTCACCCATATTTGATATGAATTGTCATGTAATTGGTATACATACTGGAGGTTTCCCTATAGACGGCTCGTATAAAATGGAGTATGGATATACGTTTGGAGCAATCATTGAACGACTTAAGTCCTTCGAAGGAGGTAAAAATTTTATCAAAAAAATGTTTCCCAGGTGCGATGAAATCAGCCACCCTTATGTTAAAAGGGAAAAAACTGAATTGGAAGACATGGAAATTGATTAAACTGTTTTTTTCTAAATGATTTGCATGTAACTAGAAACAAATGATAGATAAGTTTTAAAACAGGTCGTCTGAAAATTTTTTCAGGTGATTAATTTGTACATTTTTACTCTAACAGGAAGGAGTTTTTCATGACAATGTTTAATTTCAATTTTTCATTTATACAACTGAAGACATAGCTGTAAATGTCGAATTTTTATAGATCATAATAATGTCCTATAATCACTGAAATAGAATATACTCATAGAATACACTGGGAAAAGTTCTGACGTGCATGTAAACGTGGTAATAACAGTATAAAACTAGTACAAGTTACGGAGAAATTGTTAAATCTCGTGTAATTATGTCGATTACGATTACAAAAGGAAAAGGAGCCTATTATTTAACAATTATTGGATGAGGTTGAGCATGATATCAAGAATTATTCAGACCGAGGTCAATGTTTTCTTCCGAAGTGAAGCTCAGCTGGGCATCCTTTTTGTTCGAAATCTGTTGCACATTGTTTTTAGAATTTGTGCCAAACCTCTATTATATGACTTTTTGTTCAAAATTGGCTTTTAATGGCATCAACGATAGTAAAAACTATAGTTTGCAAATACAAGACATCATACTTACAGATTACCTGGATTCAGAAATTATTGGGGGCATATCACAGCATCTTCTGTACTAACTTCACAGTCATTTCACTGTCGTCAAAGTAACTATTCCACCTGATAGCCCAAACCTTATCAATTTATGTTTTTAAACGTCCTCAAAACAGGAGAGAATCTATGTGTTGTTCACGTAATCCCCATGAGACGTCAATCTTGGGAACCGTGTCTTTATGAAGACATTTGTTGATGATTCGCCTTTTTGTAAAGTAAAAACCTGGACAGCTAAAATCCATGTTATCGATCTCTCTCATGCTTGATTAGGTGTGCAGGTAAATCTTTAAATGATAATTGACTCTTTTGCATTGTTTCTAATTTTGTCTCTTTCTGCCATCAAAAACGATAACTCTCAATTTCTTTAATTAATACTAGGCGTAGAGTTTTATTTCCGTCTGGGGAAGGGTGAAATTTCAGATGCATGGTATTCAGTTGCACTTACAGTTTTCTATTTCAACACAAAGTAAGATAGAGGCTTTCTTCATTTGTTATATCAACATGATACACGAAGCAGAGTTAAGCATGCAAAATTGTTTTTTTACCACACGTTGGATACATGAAAACAATTTTTAGAAAAACAGATCAAATGAAATTAGCTTGACATTTTGCGCAATAGAAGCAAGAGGGAAACATCAAGATTGCATCATTTGCATGATCCAACAACAATCATTTATGAAAAACGATTTTTATGTTAATGCACGTTTATAACTTTAAAAAACTCAGATTCATTCAGTGTAAAAACGTTCTAGATGTCCACTAAACGAGGGCGCATGTCAGTTTTGAAAAGCGTGTGTGTGGTAAGGAGGGGGGGGGTGGACTGGATATCCACCCTGGGGATGTAGTAATAGTGTTCATAATGTTTTACAGTACAATACATGCTTGGAGGGGATAAAATCTTCAATTTTCATGAAATTGGGGGGACATGTCCCCTCCGTCGCCCTGGATTTCCGCCCTTGCCCGTAAGGAAAAATGATCAATTTAATATTCCAGCTTGCAACAGGATGTAAAGGTGAACCAAACTAAGTTATTTCATTTTTGTTAGCTGTTTCGGTTTCTAAACTGTTCTTCATAAACATTAAGCATTATTAATAAATGTTACTAACACATCTTTAATTTACATATAATTCTGATTAATTAGTTTTTACTAATTCATGCAGTGATTTCATGTTTTAATTCATGCCAAATAAAGGAGTTAAACTTCACAAGCATTCGGTACAGTAAAGCACTCTCAAATTTGCCAATTAAATGGCATTAATCAAATAAAAGAAGTATTTTAGGCAACTCATTTGAATTTAACAACAAAATTAAAAGCGACTTAGCGAAAATTCGATATGCTTGCAAGTCATAGATGATGTCACATGACAAGTTTATATGAATACTCCGTCCCGGGACATAACAGTTACTGCGCGATATAATAAGACTTGAATCTTGATTTCCTCGACAAATTTGGATTATCGAAAGAACGAAATTCGTTGATAAATTGGCAGCATTCATACATTCACTGATTGGGTTTATTTCGGGCGACTCCATATTATTAACGCGTTTTGATTCAAACTGGATATATTTTGTTTGCTGGTCATTTATTTCAAAATGAAGTTCAGTTTTTGTGCAGTTTCAATGATATGGCCGCTATATTATGGTAAAATTATGTCCTAGATGGTGACTTATGAGAGAAATAGTAACTTGCTGATACACGAAGATCATATAAACTGTTAAACGTATGATTTATGAAACAATGAGGTTTTAGATACATGCCAATCTTGTGCAAGGACAGAATATCAATAACTTAGCTTTCATATTTCACGGTAATGACTACTACAAATATTGAAGAAATATCGAAAAGTGAGGCAATAGTAAATCATGAACGATATATTGATGTACCCAGAGGCTGGAATCGCTGTTTGGAAAATGGAAGTATTGTCTACGTATAGAAAAACTACACATATGGTTTATAACGAGGTCTTGTGATTGAGAAAATCAGATTACATTTGATTGAAACCACATTAGTACATGGATAAACACGTGAATTGTGTGGCAACGAATGTAAACTTGTGTTATAGCCTATTTTGTCCATTACAGTGTTTTTCATTCGGTTGAATTAAATGGATGAATTTTGTATTTAGATAAAACACATTATGTTCAACTTGTCAGCAAAATGAAAGGAATAAAAACGTTGTCAATACCATCACGTAATCCCGGAGAAAGTCCACTTGTCCGTTGTGATGACGTCTTGGCAGCTAGAAAGGTAGAATTTCTTCTTTATAGTGTAGCTACAGCCTGTATGTAGGCTAACCATTATGTTATACTTGGAATCCTTTGGCGCGTATAATCATGGCGTTTTGTTTCGCTGACAATAGTTAAGAATAAAAAGCTCGAGATGTTGTATGTGTACATTAAATGCTGATTTCTCTGCTGTAGAAAAAGTGCATAGTGGCAACATCTGCAAATTATTTGCTTGAATTTAATTTACACTGTTTTTTTCTGTTTTTTTTTTCAGATATCGAGCAAGATAAATGAACTAAAACGTGACTATGATCATGAATATATGCACATCCAACATCAATAAATTTAGCCGTGGTAAATGTAAATTATTTTTGTATATTTGCAACATCGAAACTATTGTAACAAAATGTTTATTTAAATAGTCATTAAAGTCAATAGTCAATAAGTCATTATATTATACAACTTGTTGTTATCTTCCTTCATATTGTTACGTTAATCGCAAAGTTAAGAAGTGTGAGAGTTGAGAGTTGCCACCCTTGTCAAAATATAAAACTGTTCACACCACAGATTTCTGGGCCGTGTATGGTTCTTGTGAAATGTCACGGAGCAATTAACTTTGTTCCACTAAAAAACTTTCATTTTCGGCTTTTGGGGGTTAATTATATTTCATGTTGAGGTAGGGTTAGATATTAAAATAGTGGTTCTTTGTTTTTTTTTCAATTTTGTGTCTTTTGAATGAATTAATAAATGTGTTTCTACGAAATCATTCAATGACATTTCAAGAAAATTTCAAGGAAAATAAGCTCCCCAACTAAGGAATTTAGAGAAGTTTTATCACCAAAAATGACCAAAAGTGAGAAGTTTAATTATGAAAAATGAAAGCACTAAATACTCAGTGGTTTCCAGTGTCTCCAGTGAGTGCTTCGCGAAAACAAGTCTACAAGCCTTAAACCAGCAGAACAAATAATAATTTCTGTATCATAGCATCAGCTGTAAAGAAAGAACGCATCAGTTGCGACGCTTAAACGTTACTTTAAATAGAAATTAATACAGAATGTCCGAATTCGCAGTTTTAGATTGTTCGTAAGTTCGAAAGTTTATGCTGTGCAATTTTTTTTCTTAATCTATGGTATAATATTAATCTTCCAATCTTACCCTTAGGCCAGGGGTCCCGTGGGCTTGCCTAAACTAAGCAAATAGCAGTTACGCCACTGTCTGTAGAACTAAACAGATAAATGGTAGAAATTTGTTTTACAAGTTTCAACTTATTTGTTTTACAAAACTATGAAGGAGAATGGCGTGCATTGACAGGAAAATGACCCGCAGTAACATAACCACTCTCTATTGCACATGGAACACACCCTTAAAGACATCATTGAAGAGATATTCTGTATTTGTGTAACGTTTTTCTAGTTACAAAACTTAACAATCTTTGCGCTTAACAGCTTTGTGGATTTTATGCCATTTGTAAAGTCGTAACTGGAAGCGCAGTTTGTGTCTTTCAATTGATTTCTCCGTTGTACGAACGTACGTCTTTTGGTAAGATGAGTCAAAATTCACCTAAAGCCTCCAGCACATTAGAGCTAACAGCTCTGTCCCTCTTGCTGTTTCCTCTTTAGGTAACTTATTCATAGATGTTGCTTCTGCATGAGTATCCTTGGTGCAGCTAACAAAGTTAGGACCATCAACAACACAATGTTTACCTCCACAAACGCTTTTTCCCTATTAAAATTATAGGCCATGATGAGTATGTGTACATCTTATGACGTCACAAGGCCATGTAAAAATTCGCACAGGAAGTGCCAAAAATCGCAACTTTGGAGAGATGTAAAATCGGTTTGAAAATTCTGTTTTCAGTTTCGTATTCAGCGCCGCGACTTCTATTAGATTAGCTCAAAAAGAGGGGTCAAATTTCGCGGGAGTTGCACTTTAAGAAATAAAAATGTTTACTGTGTTTGCACGATCTTATGAAAACCGAGGAGACCTTTGGGAGAACTCGAGAGCAGATCAGTGCAAGCCCGAGACCGAAGGTCGAGACAAAACAAGAGCGAGTTTAATAAAAAGTTTAATACATGACATCAAGCATTCGCATTTGAAAATACAGGACATGTTAATTTGGTGTTATAGCACAAATCTTTATGTGCTGATTCATGGAGAAAGAGCACTTTTGTAAAGTGTTCCATTTTTTTCTCTAAACTTTCCATAACAACAATTTCCGTAAGACAGGACAATGAAATAAATTAATACACTCCTTTGTTGTCATTTCTTGACTTACTCCCGTGAGGTATTCAATATACGCTCCAAAACGTTTACATACATAAAATTTTTGAATTCTTTTTGTCAATTAATTGCTTGACAGTGAGAATAATGATTTACATAAGACATACTTAATGAAACGCGTTCGATGGTGCTCAAAGCATCCTGTTCCGATATTTCTCACACGTGAATGGCACACATCATCTTGTCTATATATATTGCACAAATATGGTAATGATCATTCTCTTATTTGTTAACGTTCGCTAAAGATCACGGTTAAATTATGAAGGCATTGATTCTCAGCACTGTTTGCCTTCTTTTTGTAAGTTTATTTATTACCGATCTATATAAACCGTCGCCATATTTCTTTAATCCTTTATTAAATAATTATATAATAATTATATAGTTCAGTTTAATTCCTCATTAGTTGTTAGTTTTGGCATTTTATGGCGTACGTTCTTTTAGCTAATGATCACAGAATTCTATTTGTATTTCTATTTAAAAGACATTTGGTAAAAGTTCGTCCGCGTTGATACCAGGTATGTCCTAAATATGTTGATGTGCTTTGTCACATCCAATTTGTGCATTTTTATCAAGCCAAAAAGTACACATTATATTTCTACAAATATTTGCGTCATAAAATCACTTATTTAGGGTTAGTTTCATCTGAATGGAAATTAACTGTACATAATAATTGACTGCATCGAATTGAAATAAGTACCTAGGTGGCGCAATGCCAACTTGTACCATACGAGTACAAGTTGGCATTGCGCCACCTAGGACAGAAGGCATCGGTTAATTATAAGCGAGCTTATATTTTAGATGCTCGGCCCACTTCTTGTGCAGCCGTGTCATGTCTAGTTGGTTTTAAATGCGTTGAAGAAGATAAAGGGGCTGTGTGTAAAAAAATATGTAACACAAGCAGTGAATGCAATCAGCAAGGATCCATCTGTAGTTCTGGGAGTTTGTGTTTGTCCACGAATTTGTCCACTCTACTTCATGCCAGTTTGTGGCGACGATGGCCGAGAGTATGGGAATATTTGTCTATTGAATATAGCGGCTTGTGAAAGTAAGAAAACAATCAAAACTGGTACATGCAAAAAAGGTCTGAAAAATTCAACTTCTTATAATTTTGATTTAATTATTTTAGAATTATCAACCAGGATACTCTTTTAAAGATTAAAACAAGCATATTTCTTAAAATAAACGAGGTCTAATTTTCTGCCATGTCTCATTAAAACAGATCCATGTGCGTCAGTGACATGCAAGAAAGGTTTTCAATGTATCGCTAGAGAAGAACAGACATATTGTCGACCAGGTTTTCAATTTATACGTACTTGTGCATGCTTATTTGAAGTTGGCGTTCCAATAAGACTCCCAGCACATAAAAAGGGAGTTGAACGAAAAATACAGTTCATTTGCAATCAATTAAGTTGAATTTGACAAATTTGTTTTCCCATGTTATCACCTCAGTAGCTTTACGTCTTATTTTAGTACTTTGCTCGCTTCCTCCTTCTACCGGAAAATGCAAAGGATATTTCAAAAGATATTTCTACAATTCAGTTTCTAATAAATGCGAGAAGTTCATTTATGGTGGCTGTGGTGGAAACAGAAATAACTTTCGCTCTAGATATGTGTGTAAAATTTGGTGTGAAGGTGAAAACCTCTTTCTTAATTTTTAAATCATCATGACTTTTAGTTTGATACAATGATTGATCTTTTTGACAAAAAGTAAAACATATGAATTAATGTTTTGTTCTGTTTTGTAGCTAATTGATAAAACATCGCTTGTTTTTACGTAACAGAATCATGGCCAGTGGATAAGCCTTTCGTCGACCGTGTGAAGATATGAACTATAGACTGAAGTCCTTTAAATAGTTACACTAAAATTGTATAGAATAGCACTATTCAATACATAAATTTCACGAATCTATAGCTCTTGATTTTTTATGAGGCTTTGATACTAAAATTGATCTTCTTTTGCTCAATAGGACCATGCGAATATTTCAAAATTTTCAATTTTCATCTTTTGCTGCCTGAAATAGCGATATATTTGATACTAAGTATGTACGAATGAGAGTCATTGACACTCAGGCACAGTATGAAAAACGAAAGGTAGGACTTTCCGCTCGGTGATGTATATCAAATCAAACTACTGGCAACGGTTAGCTAACACATTTTTTTTGCTGGTCAGATAATACTTTTAACTGGCCGCCACATGGTAATAACGTGATAATAGCTTTTAATAATACCAATAAGATACAGCGTTATAAGAGGGAGTACAGCGTGTAGTGTTTCTTCAGAAAGGCTAAAACAGCTTCTTAACATAAAATCACCTGCCTTTTCCTGTCCTAACCAAATGTTAATGTTGCATTTTTCAAGCTTTGCTTTACTTTGATCAATGAATATAAGAATGTTGGACGTGATGTTAGCATTATTTTTCATTTAACACTAAAGAAAACAAAATGAAAAGAAAATCTTTTTTCTTTTATTTCCTCCAGTCTCTGGAGAATATTCTTTGCTTTGTGTTTTTGCTTGTGCTTATGTTGCTAGCGAGAACTAGGCTTATTCTCGCTAGCAACATAACTACCTGTTTTCTCACTATTTAAGAAATGATTGTAACAGAAACTTTCTGTTGGAACTTTTTGTGACCATATATGGCAATAGAAGATTAGCAATTTAGCATAAACACAATGTGTTATTTCCGTCACTTGCATGTCATACGTCACAACGTCTTGCGCCAATTTACTAAGGCCCGGTTCAAACGTCGCATTTTACATGCGCCGAATCAAATCTGAGTTTTAGTCGACTAAAATAGTTTTATGCGTGGTTTGATTCAGACGTCGAATTTAATAGTCGCATTTATTATAGTTATGCTTCCACTTTTTCATAGTTTATTCATTTTCTTGTACTAATTTCCTAAAATGGCGAACAGAAAAATGTTGAGTTTATGCATTTCAAATATGATTCGTGTTAATAGGAAAAGACGAATATTGATGCATGTTACAGCAAATAAACTATTAGAAACGAGACGGCAGCTTCTGCAAATTTCCCATGTTTTTCTACCGTTAATTGGTCAAAAAAAGCCTTCATACGTAGCCCTCCTTATCGATCATGTCGAAGACAAGATAGAAATTCCGGCTGGTGGAAGAAAGTTTGGAGTATTTATTCTGATTCAAAAAAACATTTCGTGTATCTCGAGGAAACTTTCCTTGTACATATAAATTTTTTGCACTTTAAACAAGTGTATTTTGTTAAACTTGTGCACGAAATACAAGGGCCATTACCATTGAGTTCTATAATAACTGGAGGGGAAACGTCAACAAAATTAGTATAAATTATTAGCGCGCGGCCGCGTTGTCAAAAACATGGCGGATTTTGGTGGTCAAAGTCAGCGGAGAGACGCGGGCTCATGAAATAAAATTTTTGTCGCCCACCCTGATTTGACCACCACGATTGCGAGTATAGAAAATATCAAAACTATTTATTGTCCTAACATAAACACTTTTTTAAAACTTTATTTATTAAACTGCCAACTTTTGTGGTTTGCGGATGCTGAAATAGCGACAAAAAAGGGAACATTTCTTGACTCCGGTAAGTAGCACAGTATTAGTTTTACTATTTTGTTTTAACACGATACTTGAAGAGTGTTTCTACTACTAAGTTTTAATTTAAAGTTATTTTGGTCCAGTCTTGTTTGTTCTTCACTTAATCGCTCGCCAGACGCCGAAGCTGTCAATTTTATCGAGTTTTGCATCCATCTTGTATCATGATCAAGCTAAACTCTCCTGATTTGAATTGAGTTTACCTCCCAAAAATGGGGCATAATTTGTTCATGTTTTTTTTTTTGAAAAGATGAAGGGAAAGTTTACAACAGAGTTGTGTTGAAATTGAATGCAGTGCCATGCAAAATTAATGAGAACTATGATATATGTTGTATAATAAAAATAACTATTAAACTGTTTGCCTGCTCAATTTGACTGACTATATAGTGTAGACAATTATAATGGGATTGGAAAGTTGGATTTATGCAAACAATTTTAAAGTACTACTTAGCGTTTCTGTGAATGAAGTATTTATTGTTATAGTAAACCGGTTACTACTTCAAAACCAAGATAAAAGCAGTGTGTTGAACAATGTGCTAAGATTTGTTTCTACCTTGAAATTTTTGTTCAACAGTAGCTTATGATTATATCATTAATATGCATAAATAATTAAACATATTATTGTCTCATCTCATCAAATCCATACTTGGTATGATTCCAGGTGATCCACAAATTCACATCAGATGCATTGGTTACAATGAAGTTGAATGTAGAAGAAGCAAAAATAGATGGCAAAGAAATTCTTTGTGTCTTATGAAGAATTAGTAGAAATCAATAAAAAGAATTCTTTAAACAAATTGTAAACAAATTTAAATTTGCTCATTGTCAAGCAACCTAGTCAAAGAAGGAAAGTCTGTCTTCAACATGTGACCTTTCCAATTATTTAGTTTCTCTGTACAAAATACTAGAGAAACTTGATTTGTAAGTCTTTCATTAATATTTTTTTACCAAGAGATAAAAGGAACTAATTCAAAGGCTTGATGTAAAATACAAAGATTTAACAAGTTGTTTATCATTTAATTCCCAAATGTTAGTTTGTACATATAAATAATTACTATTGGTAGCTGTAAGTTGTTTAAGCAAAAGAGAAGAGTAGTAGTGCTCGAAGAGGTTAGCATTTTTGAAAAATTATATCTTGTTCATGACATATATTATACAATTCCAAAAAACTGTAAGTAATGCACAATAATATCTATAGAACTTGATAAATTTCTTCACCTACACTGTCAAATAACTATTTTGCCTTCATGCAGCAATAGACAGAGTTTTTGTCTGAGAAACCAATGCACTTTAGTTTCCAAGTTTGTAATTTCAATGGAAAATTGATGTAGTTCTGTTCAGTAATAGATCCAAGATTCTGCCAAGCTGTTTACAAAATACAAATTACCAAGCAACAGTGTCATGGTGTTTTGAATTTTTTTCTTTTTTGTAGCTCTTCTAGTTCAACATACTTTCTTTATGAGTTTTCAGTAGATTTATCAGGTAATGACAATACACTTATGATACTTATCCATGGTAAATTTTCAGTTGACTTATGTCGTAGGACTGAAGCAAACATTTTCTCGCTTCCTTAGAGCATTTTAACACAGATTTATCCATTTGAGCAAGAAAAATAGGTAACCAAACTGTTTGCAAACAGTCAAACACACAGAAGCATGAAATAATGTATTGTTTGACGAGATTGACAGGTCTACTAAAGAGTGCCGTTTGATTTTCACTTTAAAAGGTTAAAATGTCATAAAATAACTTAAATGTTACATCCAAAATATGCTTTTCTCTACCGTCCATTTTCTTTATTTTGATGTGTGTCTGTACTGTGTTTTTCACGCAATGCTGAAGCATTATTTTCACATGATATGCTGTCGGTATCGTGGTTGTTTTTTTTCACTTGTTTTCGTTCATACAAACAGTATTAGAAATCAGGAGGAAGTGAATATTGAAAAAAATTTTTAAAGTGGAAGTTTTGACCACCAAAATCCGCCATTACCGCCATGTTTTGACCACGGGGTCCAGGCCCCTGCCCCTCCAGGTTTTATATCTGCCATTACCATCACCTCGCCGCCGCCATGTTTTTAGCAACTTTGCGCATGGCATTTAGCATGGAAATAATTGATTTTTGCTTAGAAATATCTTAAAATAAATTATGCATTAAATTCGGCTCATGTAAAATGCGACGTTTGAATCAACATCGAATTCCTGAATATCTGACTAACTTAGTCGAATATGCGACTAAAGTCGCATTAAATTAAAATCCGTCGAATTTAATTGATTCAAACGTCGCATTTTACATGCACATAATTCTCGCATTTGATTCGGCGCATGTAAAATGCGACGTTTGAACCGGACCTAACTTTGTTGTCCAGATGTTTTTTAATTTTTTTTGTATTCACTTTTTTGCAAGCTGACTAAAAAATTCAGTGGTCTGACCCGACATAGGTATATAATAGGGGAATATGCTGTTGTGTGGGGGAAAAGCAGGGGAAAACAAAGAAAATGGTCGTAGTGGGAGGTAGGGGGAAAATCAATGACTTATACCCAATCCTCTAGATATCTAACTGCCGTTGTCACGGTGAGGCAAATTTTATTCGCGGGCGCCATCTTGAAAGGTGGCAAAAAACATAACACGCAATATACGGTAGTATAGTTTACATGTCAAACTGACTCAAATATATGGTTGAAAAACGTTGAAAGCAATCAATCTTAAAACAAACACAGGTATAACATCCTCAACTCTAAAACAACGTTCAAGAAGCACATTTTAGCTGCAAAGCGTAATTTTCGCTTTTCATGGTCAAATCGCGCCGCGTATGGATGTACAAATCGCTTTTCGAAAGAGAGTAACATAGCTTTTCACAAATTTCTCATTGAAAATAAGGACCTCTGTAAAGATGGGTCATTGCTATGAAACGAAAAACTTTACCCCAAACGCAAGCAGCTTTGCAGCGATCATTTTGCACGATGATTATAACACTGAAAAGCCTATAAACGCAAGTTAAAGCGACGCGATACCTTCAGTGTCGCTTTTCCGGAGAGACTACTATCTAAAAGTCAAAAGAAAGCCTCTTGCTAGAAGAGAGACAGAAACATCACACCAAGCGCCAAAGCTAAAATAGATTTGCTCGAGGAAAGTCTAATAGAAGAGACAATACCAACGCAAATGCTGTAGCAAGTAGTCCCAGGAAAAATTGCGAAGAAAAATAAAACTCTTAAGCAAAGTTACGACGTAAGGAAACGAAAATCAGTCGCTAGTAGTTTGTGAAAAAGCTTGAAAAGAGAAATTTATTTCATCAGACGCAGCTTCAATTCTCGATAACAACTTTCAGG